AGAGGAGGATTTATTGACAGAAATGCAATATAATATACATAACTATGTTTTCAGTGGTGTATAAAGACCTTACATAATGAACTGTTATATTTTTTATTACCTTAGTATGAGCCATTTCGATCTACATACAACACAGCGTTACAAGCAGTTTTATGGACATTTCTTCGTGACTGACATTGGAGATAAATATCCTTGGAAAGTATAAGTCACACTGAATCTTAAAATATGTGAATGATATATTTGCAATCAGATCTGACAGTTCTGACTCAGACAAGAAGTACAAATCCTCCTCCTCCCGCAATTTTGATATTACACTTACTGATTTTTCAATTTATTGTTCAGACCTACTATGCACCTGTCGCTTTCACCTCACAGTGTCAGCCTCACATCTTCCCCCGTCTGAGCCCAGGGGTCACATTAACCGAATATTCTCCAGTCAGTGACTGAAAATGACGAATGGGCTTCAGATCTTTCAGTCATTTAAAAAAAATAAAATAAAAATAAAGACAGATTAAGACTTAGGGTGATCCCTTCAGTAACTCACATGTAGACCGCCTGTAGTACTGTGCATATCAATTTGCTGTCTAGCAGTCTTGTCTTTGATCTCACATGCATGACCTTCTTGTCTAGATGCCTTTAGCCATCGCATTGGTTTGGCTTTATTGCTGCATACCCATCGCAAAATGTCAAGCAGCGGAGCGTCGAAGGTTTCTTGTGATGTGGTTGATAAAGAAGTGAAAAAAAAAAGAGGGACAGATGCGGTAGGCGAGCAAGTAATACTAATAATGTTTATCAGCCAATAGGAGCTAATGTTACATGGGAAGGAAGAGGCAGAAAGGAGGTATAAAGTTGTTTTTGAAAATTAACTAAATACCCTATATGACTATTCATATAAAAAGGATTTCATGAAAATTATGGGTTTTAAGATTATAATAGTATTTTTACAACCTGTCTGTCAAAATGACGGACAACGAGAAAGGCCAAAGCCGGAAGATATTTTATTCCCGAGTCAATTCATTTGTGAAGGCAGAGGTCAGGGGTCAGGGTGTGCAGCTGCTCATCATCTTTACTGGAGACTGAAGCAGGAGGTTTGGGCTCCTGACGCCTCCTCACGTCCTCCAGCTCCTTCTAATGGCCACAGATCCAAACTCAGCATCAATATTTCACAGCTCTGGTCCTTTTAACAAGCCCGGACCATAAAACTCATCTGCTGCTGCTTCCTGTGGAGCGATAACATCTTCACAGCTGCAATTCTACCGTCAAATCATTCATTTCAAATGCTGAGCCTGCTTCAGCACAACAAACAGTGCTGTGTGTGTGTGTGCACAGTGTGAACCCGAAGCAGGGTACTGCTGTACAGATCAAATCTTCCAGGATAAAAACCATGTTTAAAGTGCAGGAAGGGTGCAATCTGTCGACTCTGCCCAGTTTACACAGCAAACATGAACAAACTGAACTGATCAGCGGTTTCACTGTGCTGGAGAGAAAAGCTACAGAGGCTCTCAGACAGAATACATTTCACCAGAAACACGGACGGCAGTCACGTCTACCAAAAGAAACTGACAGACACGGGCTGATTATTCATAGCTGCACTTCACTACAAACATGTAACCTCTCACCACTTTGCAGAAAACCTTTATGTTATGTCAAGTCAATAATAAAGCACTTCTTATGTTTGAAAACAAAGTGCTTATTTTAGACTAGCTGGAAGTCAGCTGTTGGTAACAGCTGTTTGAATACCAATAACAATAAAACCAAAACTCGAATCTATTCCTGATTACCATGCTTGAGACAACCAGTGATATCTCTCAGTGTGAATGAAACATCTCCATCCATGTTGAAACACAATCAGGAAAACAGCTCCAACATGTGTATCAGCTGGTTAAACCTCCGTCCTGCCTCCTCTTGCTCTCCGTCATTAGAGCCGCAATGATTGATCTATTAGTTGTCAAATATTAAATTAACCGCCACCTATTTTGATAATTGATTTGAGTAATTTATAAGAAAGACAGTAAAAATTCTCTCATTTCACGACCTTAAATGTGAAAATTTCCTGGTTTCTTTGCTCCTCTGTAACAGTAAAGTGAATATCTTTGGGTTGTGGACAAAACAACACGTTTGAGGATTTTGGGAAACAGTGATAGACATTATTCAGCATTTCCTGACATTTTATAGACCAAACAACTAATCAATTAATTGACAAAATGATCAACAATGAGAATAATTGTAAGTTGTGTTGTAGCCCTATCTTTGATTATCTATATTAGGTTTTAATACAAACCCATGATTTCCTTGTTCCCTTGTACATATTTTCCTCTTGTCAGACAGTTGAACAAGTATGAAAAAGTTACCTGTAAACCAGGTGAACAATTATTCCAACTGCTTCACAGAGTCATCGAATAAATCACTACTTTCTAATCTTGAAGTTGAAAATCACTACAGCTGAATAACTAGAGTGCGGTGACATTTAAGATGACCACATAGATGCTTAGGGGAGACAGAATCGCTTTTTAAAAAGGTCAACTTTTCTCGTCCACACTAAAACACGCAGCAGGTGTTTTCAGATTGATCCACTCAGGATAGAATTTTGGAAAATCTTAATGACCAAACACAGGGGGGGGATCTTCAAATCTGGCAGCCAAGTGAAGACGTACTTTGAAGTTTACTTTGAAGTGTGCTTAACACATACAGATAAGAGGAATATTTCAAGCAACAACACTATTTGATACTCAGTGGGAACTATTTGATCTATCTTTGAAGACGGCGGACTGGAAGGTTGAAATCTGTAAAAATTAAAGGGTTAAACAAAACTTAACTGTCCACATCCCTTTTTGAATGTTTACATTAAAGCAGCGTCACTTGGTACGGGTTAATTGATAAGCCTTTCCAGAGAATCTATGAACATTTATTGGCTCTCCTCCTGCAGGCAGGAATGTCGACACCTTTGTCCGTTCGCTTCTCAAGCCTCAGCAGCAGCTTGTACGTTCGACTCTTATCAGGATCTCTGGCAGAGTCATGCTGAAGGCATCCGGCGACGCAACGCAACAAGTCAGAGCAAACCCACAGTGTGTACAGAGACCCTGTCATTACAAACACACAAACACAGATCGACATACACACACCGCCTGCTGCAGGGTGTGTTATGACAAAGACATGAACTGTCCTACATTTCACACATCTCAGCACTTCACTCCACCCCCCTCCAACACACAATCACACATAACTGAAGCCTGAATAAGCAAATATGCACTCTGAAAAACACCCTGTGGAAGGTCTGATGAAGAGTGTGACGGCTTGAAGTGGCATAACACCCTGTAACTGCTCCGCGAAATAACGTGTTAATCAATGTCATCTTTTTTTCCAATGCCTGGATCTATATAATCAGACCCAGCGTATGCTTCTCACACCTACATTTGTTTTTACCAAATCACCGCATTTATGATCTGGGCATCGTTTACATGCGTCGTCTGAATTAAGTGAAAAGAACAGGCATTTTAATTGATTATGACAATAACCTTTTTGTTATGGTATCATTGTAAGGTCAGGTGGTATTCTCATCACATGGGATTTACGGAAGAGAGGGGAAAGATTTATATAGTTATGACATGCGAGAACTCACGTCATCTGACTAAATAATGCGATGAAACTTATTTTAAATTAGGACACGGGCTGATGTGTTTTTTTAGAAGGAACGTCTGTATTATTAGGCCACAGGTGGAATATGTCAAAGCTTTAAAAGGTTTTCTCATTCATAATTACTATCTGGATGACGGTGTGACTAGTATTTACATTTACAAACAGTGCTACATCAGATCAGTATCAGCTAATACTGACCTTATTAATCAGACTGGGTATCAGCATTACATACATTTTATTTTTCCACTATGAGTTCCATTCATTCAGCCACAGTGGGCCCCTGACTCTGTTTTTAGCACCGCAGTAACTCCGGCTTCGTGTTACCGCAGATTAAAGCAATTCCGGTGAGTTCCACTCTGAAGTATACAGATTTATATTTGGGACAAAGACTTCACTGGTATGAGATCAGCACTCCAGTACCGGAAATAACAAGCGGGATAGAAGCATCCCTAGAAGTTATAGTAACTCCCACATGGCATGGGTAAAACAAAATGCAGCTATAAATTGGATTATCATTAAACATCCCATTAATGGTGTTTATTAAAACTACTTAAGAGAACTGGAAATGCACCGAATAACTGATGGCATGACTTAAGGCAAAAACATATGAGTGTGGTCCTTTAATCAGAGTTACAGTGTAAAGATGATCATTATAAATAACTCCAAATACCCTCATTTATGGTCATTGAGGCTGCGCTATATTCTGTTAAGCTACTGCTACCAGACATACACAGGCTCTGTGTGTGATGCTAACACTATTAGACTCCCGTATGCACCATAAAAGGGTTTTAAACGATCGTTTTGTCACTCGGACCCAGCTGTTGACCAGAAAGCAACATTAGCTCCCAAACACAGCTGCCTCCGCCAGGGTGACAAACCAAAATGGCTGCTTATATTAGAGATTAGCTGACAGTCAGCTGGATTCACTTCTCAATTACGAACACCTCTGACTTCATGTCCACAATAAAACATTTCAGCATTATCTCCCCGCGGTGCGAGTATATTCCCGTATGCTAACAGAGGGAGGTGACAACAACAGTGCTGAGTTACATTTTGGCAGCAGCGATGTGAAGCTAACGGCTAGCTCCAGTCGCGCTAACGGTAGCTCAGCAGCGCATTTCTGCCGTTAGCTTCACGTTAGCCGCTCAGCCCGCTACAAACATTAGGTTACAGTGGGTGTTAGCGACAGTTTTAACGTGCGATAGCTGAGAACTGAAATGTCAAGAGGAATAACTAACGTGGCTAAGTTTCGGTAAACCGCGGCTTTCTTTCAACCAGCCCCGTTACGCTGGACAGGGTCCCCGGTTGTTGTTGTTGTTCTTAGCTTGGGTTAGCTTGATCGGCACTAAGCTAAGTGGGCTAACCTGGAGCTCGGCCCTCTCCACTTCCCAGTGCGCCCTCTCCATCTCGAACCGGGCCCACTCGTGCTGGATGTAGTGCAGGATGCCGGGGATCGTGTACTGCTGCTGCTGCTGCGGCCGGGGCATCTCGTCCGGTTGGTGCGGCACCATGGCTCCTCCGCTGCCGCCGCCTCCGATCGGCGGATTAGCGTTGCTGTTGCTCCCTTGCTGCTGCTGCTGCTGCTGCTGCTGCTGCGGCGGCGGCTGTCGCGGGCTGCCCGCTGCGACCCCTCCTCCGCCGGGGTGCTCGTCCATGTTTTTTTGTTTTGTTTTGTTTTTTTTAGAAAAGTAGAAGGAAAGTCCCAGGCAGCTACGGTCCGCTGAAGGATTCCCGGCCACCCTTAAGCCCGTGTCTCCACGCCGTGTCTGTCGCGCTGGCTCCGCCGCGGTGTGTGAAGCTGGCTGCCCCCGGAGGGCTGCGGTGAGTGCGGCTAATTGCGGACGCGGTGTTGGTGTGTGGAGCTACCCGGCCGCCATTACTGCTCTCTCTCTCCCTGGATCATGGATGCGATGATCACGGAGGGAGAACCCAGCCGCGTTGCATGACGGGAAAGGTACTTACTTACCCCCCCCATGTAATCCAAATACGCTATGTGACGTTCATAAACAGGGAAAACGTAGGAAATCAAAACTCCCGTCTGGATTTAGGTATCATTTAGGACACGGATTCAGAATCAGATTATTTATAAGTTGTTTTTAAACATACAAGAAATTTGTTTTGGCGACTAGGTGTGCAACAGCAACAAACATAAAACTATATAAATATAAAGATATCTAAAAAAATATATAGGGTTGACAGAATATATACAAGTATTTACATACTATCAGATCTGATATAATTCCCAACCAGTGCCACTGGTACTTGTACTCCGGTTTCAGTATTTCAGATTGTGGAGTTAATGTGAAGCAAAAAAAACATATGTTGTAATTTGTTAAGAAATAATATATTCATATGTTTGTGTTTAGGATGAAAATAAACACACAATTAGGATTATAGATGAGTCAGAGGTTGAAGTTTAGTCTATCTATTGTACCCTGATCTCGTTTATTCAATATCATATTATGTATCATCCAATACAAATTAAAGCCACAACATTTATTAAAGACAACGTGTGGAAAATTGAGAAAGATACAACTTTGAGGCCACCCAGTGGTAGATTCAATACAACACAATGACCGACAAAACCAGAGTCACTCATCTCTTTTACATAATTTTGAAAACTCCGGTGTCATTAGGCGTCATTTTAAACGCAAACACAATATAGTTTCTCTAAAAGAATACCCCACGTTAACTCCTTTCCTTCAAGACTTTAGATATTTGATAAACTCCTACATTCAACACTCAGCACACTCACACTAAAATAGTACGTGACATTAAATGTTATAAAAGCATTTTAAAGCATTTCAAATGCAATCTGTCTAATAATTTATTATATTTCCATTTATAAGATGTGATTACATCTTTACAGTTTAACGCTTTTGTTAAGAAAAATTAAAATGTACTTTGATCAATATACTTTTGAGTAAAATCTGTAGGTTTATATATTATTTATATATATTTGTATATATATATCTGTAATAGCATTTAATGTTTTTGCTTTCCAATGCTGCCAATAATAAAGCCATTACACTCTGAGCTGTGGGTGAGGGCTGATACTAAAATTCTTCTTTACATTTGTTCTGTGAACGCACCATACAAGGGCTTTACTGAGCATGCGTTGGAAATGCTAGCAGCTCCAGTTAGCATCGTTTGGAACTGACACCTCGTTTGTTTTAATTGTAATTTAACTTTAATATAACGGTGAAGTTTTTGAACGGCTGCGGCGCCTCGTTGTTTACAAACAATTAAAACTTTTTAAAAAGCAAGCAGCAGTTAGCTTGTTGTTGTTTTCAGTCTGTGTGATGCGGCTCATTTAGCTACAAGCTAACAGCTGCCGGTAAGTAGAAGAAACATTTAGGACATTAAATGACACTAAATAAGGGCGATATAGAAGTATTTTATATTTAAAACGCTTTTATCAGGGGCAATAAACAGGTTATATATGAATTACGACGGAATGCTGCCTTCACGTGATCCAGTCCCAGTAACGGAAGCCGTAAACGCGATTTTCTGTCTCTTCTGTTCAGTGACTGTTTTACATAAAATGTTTTAATATCTGAAATTAAGGCGTATAAACATAATATTGGGGTTAACAAGCTGCAATTTATTGAAATAAAAACGATATCATCTCGTTTCTGTAAATGTTACTAGTGACATAAGTAACAAAGTAGATTTACTGGAGCACTACATTTATTTGTTAACTATGCATGTTCAGTTGATTTATACAAAATATAAATCAGCAAATACATGTAAATGTATTGTTACAGGTTACATGAGCTCAACTTTTACACATAGGCTACAGATTTCATTCCAGTAATAAAACATATTATATATGGGCCAGTACTTTTACTTTTGGGACTTGAAGTATATTTTGATCCTGGTACTTTTTTTTTTTTTTACATTATACATACAGTATTTCTACAATGTGGTATTACTACTTTACCTGAATTAAAAGATCTGAGTATTTCTTCCTCCACTGTACAACAGTGTTTCCCGACTATTTAACCTCTTAAAATAAATAGTGTCTGTGTGTCAGAATTTGCAAGTTTTTACTTCTCATATTGTCTCATGTGAGAACAAACACTCTTGTTTTTCACAAAAAAAAACAAAGATTGGAAATAATAATCGAAATGTGAGCAGCAGAACTTAAGAGAATGTTGACTGAAAGTTCAGTTGATTATCAATATATCTGACAGTACAGTCCCTGTGCTCAGGTGGGCGGCCGATCAGAGGATGATAAAGTTTGTGCTGATGGTGAACCGGCAGGGTCAGACCAGGCTGTCCAGGTATTACCACCCCGTGGAGCTGAGCAGGAGAGCGGTGCTGGAGGCCGACGTGGTCCGCTGCTGCCTGAGCCGCAAGAAGGACCAGGTGAGTGTCCCTCTGACTGTCTGAGACTCATACACGGTGTTTGATCATAAAGTATAAAACAGGTATTCCTTTGAAACCCTGCTGCTGTCTGGTTCTTTCCAGTGTTCCTTTGTGGAGTACAAAGACTTTAAACTGGTTTACCGACAGTACGCCGCCCTGTACATCGTGGTCGGAGTCACAGACAGTGAGGTGAGTAACACACACCTGCACTGTTTTACGAGATACATCTTAGGGGTCCTGAGCTGATTACTGGGAGAAGAAAGAAGGAAAAACAAAGTTCTGATTCACAAATCTGTTTCAGTTTTTTGACTTCTCTCTAATCTTTGATTTTTTTTCTGAAATGGCGGATCATTTTTCATCTTTGTGCCTCAAACAATTATTAAAATGAAACCATGGGAGTTTGGGAAATGTCTCTAACAACTCAGACACAAAAACATGACAAGAATACTTTTTTGCAAGCTGTTACAAGCCAGAAAGGTTTTATAAACTTGTTTATTTTAAATCTTAATCCTTGAAGTAACTAGTAGCTACAGATGTCAGATGAATGTAGTGCAGTGTCAGTTGTGTTGTCTTTGAGAGGTTAAATTAAATATTTATCTCGTCTCCACAGAACGAGCTGTCCGTCTACGAGCTGGTTCATAACTTTGTGGAGGTTTTGGATAAATACTTTAGCCGAGTGGTGAGTTCAGACTTTAAACTTTAACTGATGATTTAAGGTTTCCTGCATCAGACCTAACACAGAAACTGCCCAGTCAGATCAGATGACAGAAACCAGCAGGTGAGACTTCAGAAACAATCTGATAACTCTGTGTTTGTCTCCCAACAGAGTGAACTGGACGTATCCTTTAAATCTGACCACGGCCACAAATCTGTATTTACTGTCTTGATATAAAAATGTTAAAACTCTTGTCAGTTCTTCGTTTTGTGTCTTTGACTCCACATCGTCGTCAGATCATGTTCAACTTAGACAGAGTTCACATCATCCTGGACGAGATCATCCAGAACGGACACATAGTGGAGACAAACAAGAGCCGCATCCTCGCACCGCTCACCGCCCTCGACACGATGACCGACGGCTGAGACACGCAGAAACTGTCAGGAAGTGATGTCACAGACTGTGCTTCAGACTGACAGTAAACTGAAGGGAATCAAACCTGCAACCTTGTGGCGATTCAGTTTAAATTCACTGTAAAAGGCTGATGTTTAAAAACCAATACATCAACATGAACTCTGATTAACATTTTAGTTTAACAGTAACCAGGCTGTTATCAGTTTCTGTCATTCAGCAGGTTGATTTTCAGTGAAAATTGATACTTCATGACCAAAAACTGAGGAAGGATTAACGGCTCGTTTCACCCGAATTACAGAAAAAAACCCCCATCTTATTTCCTTCCACTGGTGTCCAGATTTATTCTGTTTTCCACATGTCTAAAAGGCTTTCTTCTCTCTGGCACTCACTGCAAGTCTGCTGGAGAAATCCAATTTACATTTATTATTAGGGATGCATCGATCAGACACAGATATTGGATATCAGCTCCACAGAGTCAGACGGAAATGGGTGGATCGGCTATCGGTGACAAGAGGGCGGATCTATTCAATTAAATTAGACGCTCACGTCATGCGTCAAACATTTTACTAGAGCAGATAAAGCATTCAGGGAGCTAAAAATAAAAGGGTCTGCAGATGGGAGGTATTTCACACTTGCTACGCCAACAAGTTCTACGGCTACTTGCAATATCTGCAAAGCCGGTGTTTCGAGGGGCGGCGGTAGCTCTGCAAAATATAACACAGCGGACGTAATCAAGCACCTCCAGAAACAAAGTTAGGAAGCAAGTTAAGACTGATGTTCCCTTAACGATAAAAGAATGACTCCAAGTGTCCTCTTTAAAGTGAGGAATACAGCTTATTCATTTTACACTGGTATGGGATCAGTAGCCAAAGCCCAGGTATCTGGATTGAAAGAGTCAGATCTGTGCACCCCTATTTATTATATTTGAATAATTCTTGTATAAAATATTTAAATTTAGTCATATTGAGTGTGTAAATGCAGAATGTTAAACACCTCCAGATCATTAAAACCCTTTATGTTTCAGGCCACGGGAGCTAAACTGTTAGCATGTAGCCTAGCGTCCCTCAAAGTACGCTATGGAAAAGCTCACATTAATGAACCTGGTGTGAGCATCTCACAGTGATCAGCTGTCCATGTACTTTTGGTCACGAGCTCACAGCTGCCCCGCCTGGCTTCAGTAGCAACTTCCTCCACAGACCACAGGACTCCGTCTTTATTTCATACTTTGCAAACATTTTAATGATTATTTTTTTTTGGAGCATACACATTTGAAAATATCTGTTTACCTTAAACTGCAACTTGAGTTAAATAAATGTTTATAATATACAAAGAAAATACAAGGGAGAGCAGAGCTTCTTACATCTGTTTTTCTCTTTAGATGTGCCTCGCACACAACCAGTGTTTTTTGTCTCTATAGCTTCATTGTAAAAGAACACCAAATGCACTCTGACCTTTGACCTCTACAGCCAGTCAGAAACTCAAAACTGTCGCACACACACACGGAAACAAAAAGCAATAAAACAAAAACAAAAAAGAGGAAGAGGAGGAAGAAGAAGCATGATTGTTTGAAGGAGGAGGAACTGAAAACAGAAGCTACGAGTCAACCCAGGCACTAAACTGAGAACAGACAGGAGGAGGAGGAGGAGGAGGAAGGTCAACACACACGCACACACACTCACAGCAGCTCAGGTGGGTGAGGAGGATGAAGGAGGGAGGATGCAAGCTTTTCTTTAATTTTTATACTGCAACACAGATCCTCCTCGTCCTCCAGCAGGCGGTCAGGTCAGTCGGCTGGTTTGGATTGGCTGGCTGATCTGTCAATCACACGGCGGGCGGCGAGACAGACTTGAGGAGCATGCTCAGTGTGACGGCGGCGACGGTTGTGGTGGTCGGGGGGAGGGCGGTCAGTTGAGGTGGAAGCCCTTCTCCATGGTGGCAGCTAACAGACGCTCTCTCATGATGTCCTCGGAGGAATACTCGGGAAGCTTCAGGTAGTGAACGCACGTGTTGACCGACGGGTAACTCGAGTCTGTGGCGTCGACCTGAGGGAGGCAGCATCAGCGTTATTATTAGCTAAAATAAACTTCTGAAGAACATTTGATGGAATATACAGCTATTTGCTTATTTTCTCAATTAACTAGTTTACATATGGTGACGTCGTTTTGTCTAAAACATCAATTTATTGATGTAAAATATGACAAAAAACAAGAAAATCTGAGACCTCATTTTTGATTGAATAATGACCTCATTAATAACCAATTACTCAACTGATCTTTTGAGGTCTAATGGAACAGAAGCAGCATAGTGGAGACAATAAAAACAAAGCAGACGAGTGAAAGAAACACTTTTTCTAAAAACACTAAAAGGAAGGAAGAGGCAGAACATAAGCGGGAAAAGGAGCCAGTTTCATCAGCTGTCTGGAGATTGGCTCATCACTACTATTAAGAACGTCTAAAAAGTCCGTCCCAATGTTGCGTTCATGTCACAGTACGAGTTTCTTCGTTCAAAGAGCGTCGTCATTATGACTTTTAAGGTTCTCCTGCATTATTAACCAAATTGGAGCTTTCAGAATAGTTTGTCATAATTACGACTATACGAAACTTGAATTTACAGCAACTCCGATGTGACATGAAGGCCTTTACACTCACACGTATAATGATGGATTTACAAATACAGATTGTGGTTTTGATTAGGGCTGGGCAATAAAACAATAACAATCATTATCGTTATATAATTTCCTCAATAACAATTTAATAAATGTTCAGTTTAATTAATCTAAATTATGAATACATTATAAACATGAGCACTTAATTTTTCTATTAAGATATTTATTTTGTGACTGAAAAAAGATTTTGTTTATTTTACTTATTTGTTTTGAACGTTCTGCCTCATATTTGTGAAGTGATTTACTGTTTAAGTGTTTGTTCTGAACATAAAGAAAAGTTTAAAACCTAAATTAACCATCTGGTTTCTTCAACTTTCACTCAAGAGCAAAAATCAGCCTTTAAACTTGAAATATATAATTTGACATTTATCCTGATAATCGATATCGAATGTCGTCAATTGTTATATTTTTTTTTTAAATCGATAAACGTCAAGAACATTTTTGTCCATATCGTCCAGCCCAAGGGTCGATCATTTCCTCTGGCTAACGAGCCAATCAGAGAGTGAGTTTACCTTCCTGACGATGGTGAGGCGGGGATGCAGGTTGGCGAGGCCGCCGGGGGGCAGCGTGGAGCAGCCAGTGGTGAACTGAAGGAACGCTTTCCTCTCATCTGACGACATCCCACATAAAACCCTGACAAACCGCAGGAAGCCGGGACTGAAGAGGGGAGACAGAGAGAGATCGCATCAGACCGGCTCTGACTTTATCTGGACTTAAACCCGTCTGTGGCCACGTACCTGTCTCTGGTGTAACCCAGCTTTGGTTCAGTGTAGTTGATGATGTCATCGGCAGTCCAGGAAGGTGATTGGTTGCCACAGAGGATCATCTGAACCTCCTTGTGGCTGAAAGAGCTCAACTTCTCCATCGGAAAGACTCGATTAAAACCCTCTGCGGACGAGAGGAGAGGGGAGAAGATGAGGAAATGAGGGGAGGAAGCAGGATAGGAGAGGAGAGAAGGAAATGAGAGGAGGAATGGAGACAAGAAAATGAGGAGGAAACAGAAGGAGAGTAGTGAACAAGAGGGAGGAGAAAGGGATCAAGAGAGGGAACCAAGAGAGGAAAGTAGGAGACAGGAGAGGAGAGAAGGAAACAAGAGAGGAGACAACAAACAAGAGAGGAGGAAACAGAGAGACAGGAAAAGAAGGAAACAGGAGAGGAGATGAGAGGAAAGTAGGAACCAAGAGAGGAGAGTAGGAGACAAGAGGAAACGATGAGGCAAGGGAGGAAACAGGAGGACGAAACAAGAGGAGAAAAAGGAGGAAACAGGAGAAGAGACAAGACAGAAGGAGGAGAATCTTGAGAGTTCAACTGAACAAAAAAAAAAAAAGACAGCAGAAGCTGTAAAAGCTCATTAAGAGAAGCTTGTTGTGTTTGTGTTGCTGCCGTGGCGACAGAAATCATTAAAGCTAATCAGGAAAGCAAGATGTCGTCTCCGGTCGGCTCTGTTACAGACCAGATCCTGTGGTTTCACCGGGATTAAAATGTCATCCTGAACGGGGAGTTAAATTACAGACGAGCTCGGGTTTCATCCCCCCCGTGATGTTCATCCTGTCTGAATGTTTAATTGTCACATTACTGTTATTGTGTGTATTCAAAGGTGTGTGTGTGTTTACCTCTGAAGGCCTCCATCTGTTTCTGGATGCCGGTGTGCATACACAAGTCAAACATCAACTCCACGTACTCCTCTGCATTCTCCATAGTCACCATCTACACACACACACACACACACACACACACACACACATTTAGTACACAGCTGAGTGATATCAAAAGGTGTTTGACATTGTGTATAAATTTCATGAAAATGCAGGAAAACTTCTAATTATTTGATCTAAACATTTGTTTATGCGCCAACAGCCGTCATCACGTGGAAAACTCCGGTGTGTTTTTTTTTTTTTTACCTCGTCATCTCCGTTTGATTTGAGATCCACAGCAGAGAAACCGTGAACCTTCGAGGACGGACAGAACTGGAAGTTCAACCTGGAGAGAGGAAAAACAAGAGGAGAGCTCGTTCAGCTGGACAGGTTCTGGTTGCTCCTCTGATTTAAATGAGTAAATAAGGAAGGCGCGTTATAAATTCATGAGCTCATGTAATTATTATTCTATTAAATCTGAATTATGTTGAATGTCACTCTAATTAATCTGAGCATTTGACATGAAACCAGATGTAAAACAGAACCAGATAACCGAGCCCTGAACACTACCTGATGCTTTAAAGCACTCTGTGGAGTTTCCAAATTTTCTTCCTAATAAAACAATTTACAAAGATGATTTATTTAAATGCTGTTTACATGTTTACATCCATGTGTACCAGGCTTGCCATCTTCTTCACCGTCTTATATCTCGGCGTGTCATCGCAAACTTTTAAATGATCATTTCTGTATTTTTAAACCTGGTTGAAACGACTAGCAGGTACAAAAGGTTTTGCAACGTATTCCTTCAGTACAAGTGTGTCTGTCAAACTAGGTCAACAAAAAGTGCTTCTTTATGCCACTGACAGGCTCAGACTGTTACACCAGGGCCCCGTTTCAGAAAGAGGGATTAGTGAAAATTCTGAGTATGTTAAGCCTGAGATAAGGGAAACTCTGAGTTTTCTGTTTCAGAGAGCGAGATCAGGTAATCCCTCGATCATTAACTCCGGCAACTGATGCTGAGGAGTTGGAAAACCGTCAGTTTCTCTCACATCGTTTCATTTCCTCATTCATTCTGTCATTCTGTCTGTCCTTTGAACATGATGCTTTATGATCAAAACATCTAAAACTTTAACCTATAGACACATTTTCTACAGCAAAAAATAATTAATAGGCTAACCTGCTGGTTGTGACTGACTTTACAATAACAGGTCCACGAGTAAACTGTGTCTTATATTTGATCTATAGCCTACCTATTTTCATAATTAGGTTGGCGATTGCCACCGGCATTTAGTCCTGTCGGATTACAGCTTAATAAATATAGCCTTCCTATTTAAAATCTATAATGGGCTGTAGCACTTTGATTCATTAAGGAAAGTCCAGTCTGGTAAATGATGAATGAGCAACGCTGTGTAGTAGCTTAATAATGTTAACGCATTGTTCCTTCTCCCACTCCTGCGTTTTATGCAGGAGTGGGAACTTCTGGGAACTTCTCCTGCACACGATTAAAATGGAGACTCTGCCTTTATTTACCCGTTGTATCGGAGCTCCATTGATGATGGCTTTTTTTTCCATCCCCACGCACACGCTTCCATCAGGCTCAACATACTCAGAGTTGATTGAACTTATTCTGATCATCTGTACAACAACATGTAAATTCGATCTGATCCAGAAGGTGAAGGTGAGATGTGAGTGTCACCACGGGGACATGAAGCCTCTGGTGTGTCTGTGTGTGTCTGTGTGTTGTACCCGAGGTCCTCGATGCTGAGGGGGGGTCCGGAGCCCAGTGGGTTCCTCAGCATCAGGTCCTGCAGTCTTGTGTTCTTCTCATCTTCAGATAAACTCTTGCTGGCCAGAATCTGCCGCCTCTTCACCGCCAGCTCCTTCACCTCCTTCAGGAATTTGGCCCTGCAGGAGGAGGAGGAGGAGGAGGAGGAGCCACCAGGGAGAAAAGAAGAGAGAAATGTTTGGGTTTAGAAAAGTTTAGAACAGGAAGACACGTGAACTCTTGAGGTGCACCTGTTGAAAGGTGATCCCTCTCTGTCTCACCTGTGTGGGTTGACGAGGTGGAAGTCGTCCCATGTGAGGATTCCGTGGTACCAGGCGGGCGGTTTGGGTTTCGGGGGGTCCATGATGAACTCAGACTTGGAGTCCTCGTCGAAGCTGCCCACAGAGTAGGTCTCCTGGCTCTCCTCGGTGGACGCCTCTGACTGCATCTCCGACAGCAGCAGGAAGGGCTGCAGGTAGGGTCGCTCGGGGTCGTGACCCTGCGGCGAGCTGCGAGACTGGTACAGCAGCTTGCTCATATTGGACTTGATGTCTCCCATGCAAAGCAGCTTAAAGAAGGGCTGAGAGACCGGCAGGTCCACCAGACGGTTGTCCTGGATGCACTTGGCCAGGAAGACGCCCAGGAAGTGGAAGAGCTTGGTGATTCGCTCCAGCTCCTCACTGTCCTGAGGGAACGGCGCTGGGAACAGGCCGCACGAGCGCTGCACGTAGAAACCCGGAGGCTTCAGACCGCCACCCAGGTCCACCTGCAACACAGGAGCACAGGACAGTGTTCAGCTTACTGTGGAGGTTCCACAAGATCACAGATTCAAACAGAAAGACGGCCAAGCTTAGAATTTCTTCTGCTGTTATCGGTGCAGCAGAGCTCCCACCACAAAGATCGACTGCCATTTGACAATTCCACACTGAAGACAGAGGCCGACACTTTTTATTCAAATATCATTTGAATGGGGGGGGGAATTATAAATAAATCAATGACTGGATCGGTTATTAAAAAAGTTCTGACGGGTAAATTCTAAAATGTATAATAAAAAAAAAAAGGTATGAAATTATATTTTCATTCATTCAGAAATATTACGACATAAGAGTATGTATTAAATATTATTTGTTTTAGTATAGTATACATTTTATACAGTGCATAATAATAATCAAGAAATCTATGGGCTTTTCCACAGAAAATTATGCAATACATTCAAACTACAACTTTAGAGGAGGATTTTGTTCGTCCCACCTGTCGGGACTCGTCGTCAGGGAAGTCGTCGTCACACAGCCAGATACCCAGAGATGTTCTCTGAAACTCTGCAGCCACCAGAGCGTAAAACTCCAGAGTCGGACCGAGACCTGTTCCCTCCTCACCCTGAAACTCCACCTGGACACACACACACACACACACACAGCCATATAATAAAACACAAACACTCCTTGATTCACTTACAGATGAATTACCAGAATCTGGGGGCATCAGAACACAGGGGAGTGTTTCTTTACATTCAAGTAGTTTTTATTTTTTTTCCCCCCTCCTGTTTTATTAAGCAAACTGCGGTTTAAATTATTATTTTTTAATTATATAAAATATAATAAAAATTATATCTAAATGTATTTATACAGAGCTAAATAATGTCACTACATTTAAAGTTCCATTGATACTTTGCAGAATCTCAAACAATACAGTCAAAATTTCCGGGATAAGTGAGTAGGAGGATCTTTAGTTGAGACCGTTTTGTCAATTTAAAAAGCAGTCTAACAGAATGTATCTTGTAATTTCTCATGTCAGACTCAAAGAAGCCTCCCTAATTACAAATCCTAAGCATTTCCTGACCTGTTAATGTGGAGAACTCTTTAATAGAAATAAATGTACATATGAACCTGCAGGGGTCCTTAAATCTGACTCTCATTGTGTCGACTTCTCACCTCCAGCACGGACTTCCTGTCGGCGTGGAGCTGCATGACGGACTCGGCCCACTCCATCATGGCTTCTCCTCGGGGGACTTTGACTCGCTCGTGTTTGAGCCGACCCACCCTGAACTCTCCGGGGTCGTCCCGACGCACCGTGGTGGACGGCCGAGAGCGCTCCATGGTCGCCTCGCGCCGGTTCTGGAGCCACACGATCGCCCTGCAGACACACCGGGGTCAGAGGTCACGGTCAGTTACCAGTCATGTGTCAGTGGGCAGTAAAGTCTCAGGATGGAAAACTGATCAAGCACTTGAGTTCTTTTCTGGGTTTTCCCAGACTTTAAACTAATTTTCCAGGTTTTACCTGACATTTAGGTTTCATTACAAGCCTTTTTTCACTTCAAATTTGGGGGTATTTCTCATCTTTCATCTATTATGTGTCATTTACTTTATAGTGAACATATGCATCTGAACCACCAGACCCCTAAGGTAATATATACGTAATATGACCGAGAACCTAACTGCCCTTTTGTGTTTAGTTCCATATTTTCAATCAATGTCTGAAATCAAGGTTTATTCCTATTTTTATTCTTTTCCCTTTTATTCTTATTCACAACTCTTTGTCGCACTTAAATATTTTTCTTTTAGGTTAAGATTTTAAGCCCAATTTCTTTTGCATTTACTCAGTTTTTGTCTGATGTTTCACTACTTTTTGCAGCATACTGAGGAGGCTCAGGATGGCCTGGATGTTTGTCTTTAGACTCACCTAGATGCTCCAAAAGCTGTGCAGGTGAAGTAGAGCTGTCGGGTCTCGAAGGGGATGAGGAAAGGACACTTGGAGGTGAGCTGTTCACACCAGTCGGGCAGAGCTCCGCTGGCCAGAGCCAGAGGCTCCTGGGAAACAAACAAAAAAAAACAAAACAAACGGCCAACCTGTTAACATGAACTACAGTGACAGGAGAATATCATCACATTAAAACTTTTTCCTCATTGAAAACCAGTTGGACTAATGAAACAGTAGGCACCACTGATTAAAAACCTGCTATATTCAATTTCATTTTCTGGACAGGAAGTCTATTAGGGAACCGGCAGTAAAAACTGACCTCGATCTGTTGCAGAATCTTGGTTGTGATCTTCTTACTGGTGAACTCCTCTGGAGAAGCATTGAACTGTAGCTCGTCGAAGTCTGTGCAAAAAAAACAAGAAAAATGTAATTCTTTACACCAATATATCGCCAATATACATTGGCATCAACAAGTGTTCTGACTTTAATTTTAGATTTGTGTTTAAAATGTGTGTTATTTACAGATCGTACCCTCCTGCAGAGTGCGTGCATTGGAAGCGGCGTCTCCTCCGATAATGTAGAGGATGCGCAGCAGCTGCAGGACGTCCTCCACGCCGCAGGCGTTCTGGCTGCAGCCCGCCTTTGCCTGTGCTACCTCTCTGGCCACGCACAGGATCTCACTGCTCTGATTGGCTGAAACAGAGCTCGGGCTCAGACCGCCAGAGCGACCCCCGACACTAATACTGTGTTCACATAAGTCCTGATGGAGGCACATAAGTCAAAAGGTCAGAGATGAGGAAAGACGGTCAGTGTCTGTAACAGTAGATTCTCTTCTCCAGATTCTTTTTATGGACAGAAGTTTTCTACTAAATTCAAATAAATAAATAAAGATAAAAGAACTTGACAATGTGATCATTTATCCTATTGAGTGGTTGCAAAAACTGAACAAGGAGAATAATTCTCTTCTTGTGAATCAGTTTGTTTCCTCCAGTGACTCACCATCTTTCCGCTCTCCTTCTCTTTGTCAGAGTCCTTCAGCTCTCTGTACATTATCCTGCAGGACAGAACAGCAGAAATAATATATCAAACATCTGAGCAAAGGTCAAACAGTTCCTGTCAGATTCATAATCTGTCCCCCCCCCCCCCTTACGTGTACGTGGGCTCCCAGATGCGTCGCAGTTTGTCAGTCTTTACGGCACCGTTGCAAGAGAGCTGCAGCAGCCGCTGGACGTAGTAGAAGATGGTCGTCCTGTAGTTGGAAAGAGGCAGCTCCACCTCCCGGGTTGTACCCAGCCCCGCCACCTAAAACACACACCAGCAACTCTTCAAGACACATTTTTAACTGTAAAATAACATTAAATGTAAAATAACATTAAAAGGATCTGACATTGTGTTATTATTAAAGACTGAGCTCTACGTTCGAATGTCAATATTAAAAACTATCCAATCTTAAAATTAACCAAATACATCTCCTAAATTTTCCAGAACTTGTGATTATTTCGGTTGTGGTTTTCTTACCTTCAGTGTGAGAGAGAGGTGAGGAGACGGAGCGCACTCCACCTCCTCCTGAACCTCCGAACGAGGAGTTCCTGACAGAAGAAAATAAAGAGGAAAATGAACTTTAGTCAGACGCCAGTTGCGAGAATGACTAACAGACTGACAGGGAACATGAATCTAAATACAGTAACAGATCTGGTCCACCTTATATTCGTTTGGTTCGAGTTCCACTTAAAGGTAAACTTAAAGGCATTTAAGGACCCTGGTGTGTGCGTCGTACCTGGCGGGGGAATCTCCAGGTCGGTGGTCTGCTGGACGTTGGTTCTTCCTGGTCGGGGGTCGAAGGCGGGGACCAGAGCAGAGAACTGTCTCTTCAGGACAAAGTCATCGTCCCACGTCCTCCTGCGACCTCCTTTGGTCTCGTACTCTTCCTCCTCCTGCAAGACGGTTAACCATTACTCATGCTGCCAGATCAGTGCTGATATGCTGGTTTTATTTTATGACCCAGAAACAAAACAGACGGGGGGGGGCTATTACCAGGACCTCCTCGTATTCCTGGTCCTCCTGATTGTCGTCTTCGTTCTCGTCATCGTCGTCGTCGGGCTCAGGGAGGTCCTCCTCGTCGTCCAGCTCAGCCAATAGTGTGTTGGCGCGACAGCTGTCCAGGAAGTCTACAGGAGGTTAAAAGAGAGACCACACCACAGGAAACATAACGTTAGTTAAAAAGTTCAGAGTGGTGGAAGCAGCAAAGGAAGATCTTAAAATCCAGCTCGATAGATTTATACAAAATAAGAGTTTTTGGTTCATTCATGCACCTGATGGCCGACCATCAACACAGCTTCCTTCAAACACTGACAAATTATTTTGATAACTTCTAAAATGTGGATTTGCTGCTATTTTCTACTTCCTACCACTGAATCCCTGTTGGTCAGAAAAGACATGCAACTTATTGTCACAACATGTTACGTTAGAACATGTTAGAGTCAGAAACCAACGTGGTGTCAAACAACACCTAGAACCCGAATGTCGATAATCAACTAAATACACCACAACACACGTGGTTCAGACCTGTCAACAGGTGAGCTGTGCTTGTTGTTCACAATTACACGGTTTAAATGCAGCCAAATTTGTGATACAGATATTTTTTGATCCTTTTTAAGCCCAGTTTAGTGCAGTCTGAAACCAGTTCACACATACACTTACGTTTCTAAACACTGATGATGACATTTTATCACTAACTCATCATTACATTCTCCAAATCACACCCGACTGGGTAGTTGGACGCCAGTATACCTGCTTGACGGTCCGGTTATAAGAACATTTTTCCTGTAACACTGAGTATGAAAACTGTCTGGTTTTGAAAGTAGTCAGTGGATCCTCTGTAGTATAAAAACAGTTTTTTTTCTAATTTAACTAATCAGGATGGTAACAGACAGAAGCTTGTGTCAAAAAAACATTAAACACTGATGAAGTTTCACACTGGTGCTGAGGTCAAAATCAAAAAATCTAAATATTTAGAAATCCAGCACCGTTTGTAGTATTTGTTGTTTTTATAGATTAATGACATTTTGTGGCCTAGAAGATGAATTGCAGAAATGATTAGCAATGAAAATAGTTCCTTAGTAGAGATAGAAACTAATTTTCTATTATTAAAGGTCTATTAACTTGTATCTTCACATGCAGAAAATAATGTATTAATAAATAAATAACATGACCAGTGCACCATTTCAGCTTGTTAATCAGCTTCCTGATGTGAGAAGAGTTAGTCACCAGGTTAGCTGAAGCAGGCTGCGGGTGTGTGTGTGTTAATGTGTGTGCGCGCATGGTCACCAACCATAGAGCGAGAACTCGGCCTCCTGGCCCGTGTCGCTCTCGCTGGACGTAGATGTGAGGCTGGTGGTCAGGGTGTTGCTTAGCAACTGGCCCACCGACAGACCCGTAGTGGCGGTGGCTACGTTATTGCTGCTGGTTACTATGGAGGTTGACATGGTAACAGTGGAGGTGGTGCCAGTGGTGGTGAGGTTAGGAAAGCTCTGAGCGCCCATGAGAGGAGAAGCTGCAAACAAAACAAACAAACAAACAAACAAACAAACAAAAGGGCGGTTAGTTTGTCAGAAACCAAAGAGACAAAGCAGACCGTGAAGCTCGTTAAAACAGCTGCTGATTGGCTGGAGGGTGCTCATGCCGTTAACCCAGCATGCATCTTGTCTCAGGTCCAAGTCTACCTCAGGTCTCAGTTAATATCTGACTGAAGCTGCTAAGAACGTTACGTTAGAGAGCATTCCTGTCACTTACAGCACTGCTGAGCTGATTCTGGCCAGCAGGCAGCCTTTGTTTGTGGCTGACAGAGGAATATTTGCAGGATCCCAGGAAACTGGGTACAGTTTCGGTTCCTGCCCCTACAATATTCTAGCTCCTAAAGAACTGTCTGATTTCACAGGAACTTCCACAGAGGATTTCTTCTCATTGACATCAGATATTACGCAGCTACAAAATGTATTTGAACTGCGGTACTGGTTGTTACCATCAATTATTTTAAGCAGGAGTGTAAGAGTGAAATTTTTTGTTATTGACCTCTAAATGACAGCTGGGGAACTAACTTTCAAACTAGGGTTTTTTTTGTTTGTTTGTTTTTTAAAAAGAGTGAGATAGTGATTGAGAGATACAAAAATAACTTCAGTCCCAAAAAATGTTGCTTTTTAATTAGTCCAATTTGCTAGCTGGTTTTTGAGGATTTTTTTTGTCAGGCTGGTTTAGAAATGAAGAACACATTTCAAACTAACTGCAAGCAGAAAATCAACAAAGATTTCTGTACTCTGGTCTTTTCAGGACGGGGTCCATCTCAGGAAAGATTGTCAAGGGTACAAATCAGGTGAGGCAACGTTAAATGACATTCAGCTCCTTTTTAGTTCACCAAGACATGCTGTTGTTGTGATGTTAGCTACAGTAGCAGGAGAGTTGTGAGTATCGCTGTTTGGAGCTGGTGTGCCGGCTCTGGGATCAGCTCCTCCTCTCTGCATGTTAGCCACAGTTTGCTAACCCACAACTTAGCTAACGGTGGTTACATTACTTGCTGTGTTTTCATTCACTCTATTTAATGGTATTTGTCATGGTACTGGATTTCTCCAGAATCACATTCCCCACCTTTAAGGTTGTTTAAGTTAGTAAGTGCTGATAGGTTAGTCCAGACTACAGTCATAACTCCTGTTCTAATGTCAACACACAGTTAAGCTGCTGAACAGTGACGGACAGGTGTGTTTAGTTTCCTTCTGGTTACATCATTAACGTGCTGGATTCAGTCAAAACAGTGAATCGCCCTGAACTAATGACTGAAATCTGCTGACCCACACCTGACTGTGCAACTGGTGTAGTACTCGTACTCCCTGGCAGTTAGAGTTGAAGTTTAGTAATGCTGTAGTACTTACTGGCAGTACTCAAGACGTTCCTGCCCAGCGTGTTGGTGTTGTTGTCGCTGCTGCTGCGGCTAAGGTTCATGTTGTTGGTGGCGTTTGTACGTGACATGTTGGGGGCGCGACGGACAAAGGACTCCATCAGGCTGGCCTCCCGTGACGACAGGTTGGGTACGCTGGCGCTGGAGCTCATGGGGGCGCCAGCAGCCAGCAGGGAGCTGACAGACAGCCGGGCATTAGCCGCAGAGCACATAGGCCTCTGGGAAGGCGTGTCCTTGCTGGATGACTCCGACACTGAGCTGACGTCGGGGGAGCTGACGCTCACCAGCCCCATGGAGATGGCCGTTGCTGGGTCTGTGGAGTCCTTGTTTCTGCCGTCGTCGCCGGGGGCAGACGTGTCGGCAGTGAGCGTGCCGGAGCTCGAAGCTGAGCCGGACCCGCCCTCTACTGCAGAGGACAGCACGACAATCGGCTCCTGTTGATGTCCGTCAGAGCTACCCCCCATTACTCCTCCCATCAGGGAGCCCTGGTCGAGCAGCAGGCCCTCGGCCCTCCTCTCCAGACGCAGACCGCCCGCACCTGGCAGCCCTGCAGATGAGCTCAGGCTGATGTCGGAGGACGAGGCGACACTGCAGACAGAGCTGCTGCTGCCCTTCCTGCTGGAGGAGCTGGCCCCACCGAGCGATGTGGCCCCGCCCTTGTCGGGACAGTTATTTTTCACCAGGCTGCTCCACGACTGCTGCTGCGAGGACGAGGAGGTGGAGGAGGACGAGGAGGAGGTGGTGGTGGTGGTGCCGCCACTGGCTGCAGGCGTCACAGAGGGTCCCACCATGGAGGAGGCGGGGCCTGAAACAGTGGATGAGACAGGTTTGGGTGACGGCGCTGTGGCAGCCGACTCAGGGTCGTACCCTGGAGCAAGCTTGAGGTCAAACTTCCCTTCAGCGCCCATACGGTAAGAGTTAGAGCCGCCAGCATCCCAGGTTACATCAATCCAGCCTGGATGGACAGAGAGATAGGAGGGAGACGGACGGATGGATGTCAGAGACCCGGCAGAGAGAGAGAGAGAGAGAGAGAGAGAGACAGGTAGAGGGAGGAAGACAGACAACAGAGAAGCAGCTTACAGTCAGAGCAGCTCCACACTGGACCAGATAACAGCAGGATACTTTGTGTGAAATGCTCCTTTAAAGTCACAATGAGCCCATAACCCTGATTTCAAAATTTGTAGTAATCACAGTAAATATTTTTAGAAATGTAAATTTTATGAAGACATATTGTAGAGAGGTGAAATCACTGCTCATGTTTGTCTTGAGGTTTGTTACGATGTAGTGATTTGCTCCTTGACTAAGAGTAATTGAAGAAAATGCATTTTAGATTTATAGATTGTTTAAAAATTGTTTCTATCATATATTTCATTTATTGTGGTTTTCAATAAACGATTCACCACATAAAATCAATTTTTTTTTTACATCAATTATGTGTTATGTTACCTTTTTTAAAAATGAAAACAAGAATAAAAAGAAAAATCTGCATACTAATAACTGTTAAATAAGCACTTGCGCCACAGCTAATAACGCAACTCAGGGCTGCCGGTGGTCACAGTAACACTACAAGCTTTCTGATTCGGCAGTTTTTCCAGGAGCTCAGCAAAATATTACAGTCAGAGCACCTTAGCCGTCAACACACTCTGAGACCTGCGTTTGTTTCGTGGGCTGACGGAGTAATGAGGAGAACGGCTATCCATCAAAATCCAATATCGTAGATTATTTATTTATGTGCGTCTCATCTCTGGTAAACATGAAAACAAAACAAGAAATCAGCTGTCAGTGGAGTCAACATGCAACCAACGCCTCACATCCCCTAAAAATTCCTGCATCCTTTTATCGTTTGTTTTAATCTTAAATAGGAGCCAATTAAATTTGGAAGAAATTGAAAAATACATTAACATATTAGTATATTAATTGTATTTATAGTTTAAGTTAAATTTTTATCTGTAAATCTGCAGAGAACCTGTTGGCTTTTATTCTAAGTGAATGAGAACGGGCCTATATTATTTAACTTTATACTAATATAGCATTTGTTTAATCAATATGCGTAAATATATGCGTGTTACAGGGGTGGCTTGGTGGCAAGGGGATGTTTGGGAACCACTGCAGTAAAGAACAATAAGTTCACCGTCGACACGTTTTTAAACTCGGTCCAGGTGGAGCAATAAGAGAGAAAATATGAAAACAGTCACAGAAAATGACAATCAAAGCAAAAGTAGAAAATATTTCTGGCAAATGCGAAGCCTCAACGCCACAAAGAAAGAAATTAAACTGGAGGAAAATTATCCTGGTTTATGATTTTTAAACGATAATCAACAGAGCTGCTGGTGGCGTCTGCACGCGCTCAGCTCGCTGGCAGAACATCAGATCTGAATACAAACACAGAAACACCAAGAGGAGCAAGAGGCAGGGAGGAAGAGGAGAAGAGGAGGAAGGAAGGTTTATGTTACTTCCTGCACAAGCACAAATCCGAACTTTTATTCAGATCTGATTTAACACCAACTGTCCAGGTGGTCATGTCTCTCTGCAGGGATTTAGCATAATTTGCCTAGTGACACATCTAAACTTACAACAAGTGTAAAGTAAACCTGGCGTAACAGTCACTGCTAACATAATATTAGTGATGAAGGCGTTCTTCCAACAGTGTACTACAAGTTGTCTACAGATTTTCTACACACAATGCTGTTGTCTGAACACATCCTTAACTAAGTGAATTGTGTAGACAGCGTCAGCTGGCTTCACCGGAATGTAAAAACTTGAGTGCAGTGAGCAGTTATCACGAGTGAAAAGAGGTGTCCCAGTCAGTAATGAAGTTGCAGTCACTGTTCTTATTTAGCCAACTCTAAGATCAGCTGCTACAGCAGTTACTGCACCATCCCGGAAGAAGCCGTACAAAGAAAAGATCATATTCTAAGACCACATCACAGACAGATGGGACGTTTCCATCAGACACTGAACTCCAAGTCTACGTCACAGAGGTTGTGGGTAATGATGTGAAGGAATGTTCAGGGAGAAAACGGTTAATGGTTGCTTCTTACATGAGTTTAGGTCCCGTCTCACACAATGACACATATTGTTGAGTAAAAAATGAATGGTGACTGTGGGCAGACATCTGAACCAGCAGGTTGAAAAACAAACTTGTAACTGATTTTGCGGCGGAATTTTTGTACTATTACTACTTGAATTTGTGTTTAATACATCAACAGTTTAATATTTTGTTTGATGAATTAAAAAATAAAAATAAAACATGCAGTAGCCATTTTAATTTAATTCTTCAAATAAAGACTTTGTTTTCTGTGACACAAACAACAAACTTATCTAGGTCTTTATATAGATCGGTGCTCGTATGCTCTCCTCCATAGCTAAATGTAGAGTTTCAGAGAGTTCAATCCAAATTTAACTAGCTGAGGCTCTCACGGACCAAAATTGGAACTTCTTAACTTCTTAATTTCATATTATGAAAATACAAATACAAGTTTTTAAATTCAGAACTCGCTGGCACAAATATCTGCCTACAAACGGGCCCGACTCCCTGTTTCTCACAGGGAGTCGGGCCCTTTTAAACCTTGAGACAAGAAAGGAATTAAATCACTTTAAATGCAACAGTTAAAACAGGTTGGTTTTTGAATCCAGCATCCTCTGAAGCTGCAATATGAATCATGACATGTTTTTATTTTTCAGTTTCAGTGTCTGTTCTCTCTGGACGTGTCTTACCGTTGTGAGCCTCCCCAGTGATGGTGCCCTCTCCACTCGGGTTTCCGTCCTGGTCGCGCCACTTCCAGTCGATGCCACGGACGACCCGCGCCCCCGGGACGATGTACTTCATCACCTGGGAGCGGAACAGTCGCCTCTGCCGGCGAAGGTTCGCCTCCGCCTCCTTCACAGCTTTACCTGAGGGAGGAGGACAGGTAATAGACTAAAATGTAGAGGAGTGTAGCATAAAAAAAATTTTTCTGAATAGTTGTTGTAGGAAAAATTTGATGTCTAAATAAAATTTGAGCGCATATTACATTGAACGGTGAGGTTATACAAATAAATGCTCAAAGTTCCCACACTGTGTTGGACACTAAAGTTACACATGCACTCAATTTGGCTAGAAGTTGGGCAGGGATTCCCAAAATTTCAGAAACTTGCTCAATATTTTTAGGAGAGAAATAAGCACAGAAGACAAACATACCGAGCTGGTCTTCACAGACAGCAGTGACAGTGCCGTACAGCTCGAGTCCAGACAGAGACAAGTAGTGAGTCTGACCGCTGGCGTTCTTCCCCATCTGTTTGATCCTGATGTGTCTCCACCCCTGCTTCTCATCTTTTGATGGGTCCAGAGGCCATGTGGCTGTCGACCTGACACATACCAACACACACAGTTAGATGATGAGGTAACAGCATCTTCTATAGCTACAATAAATCTCGGTTGTGTACTGCCTTGAGGTAACTCTTGGATGAAAAGCCACGTGCTGACATACAGTTTGTATCTACTTCTGCTGAAGCAATTGTTCGTTATAGTTTATTAACTGATCAGTTCATTGGCATAAGAGGAATGTTGTACCCCGGTTCGTTCAGGCTGCAGTCGTCTACGTGGGTGTAGAGAGTCGTCCAGTTCTGACCGTCCTTCGACACCTGAAACACCCAGTTCCTCAGTGCAGAGCGGCCATAACCCCTGCCGCAGGAAGAGGAAAAGAAACCACATACATCAATTAGTAAATTTCCCCTCCCCCCATTTGTTACCCGACATGTTTTACAATGAAGGTGTTTGTTTTATTAGTTTCTGTGTCTAAAGGCTGTAGGTTCATTTCACACAGTCTGGTGTATGTTTGTTTCATTAACTGGTACGTCTCAGGGTGAATGTTTGTTTCATTCTAGTATGTCTCAGGGTATTTATCTTTTATTACCAGGTGTCTTTCACAGGGTACATGTGTTTTACTACTTGGTGTGCCACAGGATATAGGTTTGATTTATTACTTGGCATGTCTCAGGGTGTATGTAGGTTTGTTTTATTACCCAGCATGTATCAATCAGGGTGTATATCTGATTTATTAACTTTCGTGTCTCAGGGGTGTGTTATTTAATTTTTATTTTTATTACCTGGCATGTCTCAGGGTGTACGCTGAGGGGATGACCCAGAGGCCGAGGTCAACTGCAAACCAGGCGTTTTTGTCGTCATTGGTATGGCAGTTGAGGGCGGAGCTATCCCGACTCAGGATGTCCTCCAACCGCCCGTAGGGGAGATTCCGCCCCTCTGATGATGTCACCACCACCAGGCCATAAGCAGCGGGATTTACCCACTCATAGGCCGTCCTGAATGGAGAAGAAATGAGGCTTGTAGATAAAAATGTATGATCTAAGCTGGAGATTCCCAGGTTTGTCTGGATAGGTGCAATATTATGTCAGACCAAACCCCATTCAAAAATCTATAAAAAATAGGTACATGCTGTATAAAACCTGACTCTTGCAGCTACTTTAGTATAAAAACACGTAGTCCACCAAAAAGTACATTGTAAAAGCTCAGTTTGCTTTAAATAAAATACTTATAGTTTGACTGCAGCTGCTGTACGTACTTGGCATTAGTTCCAACCCAATAGATGATTCCATTCTCGTCAAAGTCGTGTTGATGCCTGAATGTGAAGGTCTGTCCTTCCCTCAGCTTCCTTACGAAGACAAAGGATGACCGTTCAAAGTCGTACCACTGCTTTGCCACCTGGAGGACACAGAAGAGGAAGCAGAGCGGGAGGGAGCGAGGTTAAAACTGAACTACATTTCTCCACAGTGTAAAATGAATAGAAGCGCTGCCTTTGATTTGGTCTTTTTTCAGAGTAATAATACAAGCTTTGTACAAGTATTTTTTTAATGTGGGTCATTCTAACTTAAGCACATCAGAGTTACATAACATGTGTGTCTGGTTGAGTATGTGTCTTCAGTGCGTCCTCACCATCTTCAGCAAGTACTGCTCCAGAGATTCCACAGTAGCGAGCGGCTCCATCTTCAACATGCGACCAGTTCGGTCGATCAGAGCAGTCTCGCCTGGCGCTCGCTCCAGACGGAACCGCAACCTCCTTGTCAAGATCTGATGAGCACAAACACACTCCACTAAGTTTGTCCTTCAGAAGACATGCATACACAACGGCAATCAACGGAGTTTCTCCAAACATAGACTTGGATCCAGAACACACTGACTCACCTGCAGGTTGTATGAGGATCCTGGAGTGTCGTACAGGTGCAGAGGTAGACGTTCTATTGACTCCAGGACAGCTATCAGTTTACGGATTAAGGCAACAGCTGGTCGGCTGCAAACACAGGTTTTAAATTTAATCTGACAGTTCAGAAACAGAACCGAGAACAGGCAGACTATATGGAGCGTACTTTATTAAAGGTCCTAGAGCTGGACAGTTTGCATGCTCAGCGTGTTTGACTTGTCCTACGCCAATATCGTAAGACAAAAGTGTGCATATATCTGTTCTGAATAGCCACACTGGAAGGGTAACACTTTTACAACAGTTGTATAGAAGAAAATTGACAGAAATAGTTCTTCACCTCCACATAGCTGACCAATCGGTGTGTAGAGTCTGATGTGTGTATTATTCATCGAGTTTGGGGACATTATGTAATTCGCAGCACAACTCAAATCTGACTAGCGGACTGTTAAACCAGAGTAATTTACCACACGTGTGGACCTTTAAAGTCAGGATGTGAACATGTTTGCTATTGTTTGGTGCCGTTACCTTTCATCGTCTTCATTCTCGCTGAAAGCCGCCTTAAAGACATTGATCCTCTCCATTAAAGGCTTACAATCATGTTTCAGGTCCAGTTCCACACTCTGCACACAGACAGAGAAACTTTGAGACTTCTCAGTGACTTGCTACGTCTTTAAGGATGTTGTCATGTTTCGGGCGAGTACGTGACATGCTGTTGGTGTGATGGTTTTAAAAAGGACACTTACATTGTTGAGGACAGTGAAAAGAGCCTGGACTAGGCCACTGCTACACATCTCATATGGAGAAATCGTGTTTTCATCTTTCAAAACTACGATCAGGTTCTCGAGAGCGGTTTTCATCAGGTCCCTCCACGTGTTCTCCCCTTCAATACACTGTTAACACAACAAGGGAACAAAAATGATGCTGCATACTGAAATAAATACCTCCCGCATGATGACTTAAAGTCTGGATTTGATCCAGGATTTCAGAAGTGTGCGTGTGTTTATGTACATGTCTGTTGGTGTGCAGCTCCCAGGCGGACTCCAGCTGTGTGGAGATGTTCCTCAGGGTAACCACCACTCCTCTGGGCATGCTCTCTACAGCTTTGAAGTGATCGTCGTACAGCTCCCTCGCCATGCTCTTCACTTTCTGCTTCGTCTTCTCTAGCTTCGACTTTAGCTTTCTGCCTCGCTTCCCAGTCCAGCCCGTCACAAACTCTGAGCCTGCACACACACACAATGCCAACATAAATATAGATAAAACAACTTATGGGGTTCATCAAGGACCAATCTTGTTTTAGCTGGGTGGTGTCATAAGGGGACATTGCATTGTATTTTTTTTTTTTTTATGTGTGCTGATGATTGACAATTGATGCTTTTTTGAGATGCATTTTACCCATGAGTGCCTGGATGTCACAAAAGCTTTTGGGAGTAGCCATGATAACTGATCATTTTTAAGTTGTAAAATCCTGTCTTGCAAACCTCTGTAGTGTTCAGGTGCCTGATAAACCTTTAAAGCAGGCATCTGTTACTCAGACGAGACTTTCTGGATCGTATATCATGGCACACCAGTTCCCTAAACACACTTTTCTCACTTCTGCATCTGGTAATGCATAAACCTAATTTGGGAACCTTTTCTACAATAAATCTGTCAAAAATCCCCCATTACATTATGGACAAAGTTCTGGTAAAGAGAAAACAAAAACAATACAGGAAAATCAAAAATGGTTAAGCACTTTAACTAGAAAGTCTTGGACCAAGAACTTCACCAGCCATCTTTTGCAATCTGTGTCCTGCTGACAGTTCAATAAATCAGAAGTGCTGTGATGCGACAGGCAGAATTTCTCTCTCTTTTCAAAAGGGTTTACATTTGACAGACAGAGAGATCCTGTGTTTATAAGAATGTACGTTTCAGGAGTTGGTAATGTGAAAAGTTCAAAAAATACTGTGTGGTGCTTGTTAGATAATATGAATCATGACTAATTTATTTATTTTATTAATTTCTAAGTATTTAACTTACTGCACATGGACTTACCCCAATTACAGTTAAGCGCAGCAAAGTATTGCAATAACTTGTATTTGAGAAAGGTCTCTATCAGCTGTATAAGTTGCTGTTCAGTTCAATTTTCTGTTCAGTGAGGCTGAGAACTTGTTTCAAAATCATGAATCAAGGTTCCATGCGATTTAGACGAACAGTAACTTGCATGCAGCTGATATGTGAATTAAAGCTACAAGATTTTAAACTTTCCATAGTTTATTGAGTTTATGTTGATGTGTTGTTGCAACAGCTGCAGGAAGATGCGTGGAGCTGCTGGGAAATGCTGAGACACACCCAGTGAGGTCTCGGCGGTGAAGGAGTGTTTAGTTCCTCTGTTGGACTCGAACACGAAGCCCGGCAGGTCTTCCTTCAGGATGGTGGCCTGCTGTCCGTCTGAGTTGTGGATGGCGATCTCGCCGTCCTTCAGGCAGGTCAGAGACCAGTTCCCCACCGTCAGCTTAGTGGGACCCACACTGGACAGGATGGGCTGACTGGCTGTTACAGGTTTCACCTGGCTCCTCGCCCGTTGCAGCTTTTCTAGGAACTCACTGCGAGACTCTGCATGAGGAGAGAGGAGAAGGGGGGGGGGAATCATTGAGGAGGAGAAACATGAGCCCAAGAGGGCAGACAAAAGAGATCAGTCAGGGCAACAACTAAAAAAACAATAATATGCTGCAACAATATGTTGTGTGTGTTATGAGTTAATTATTTGTACCGGAGCTGTCCGACCCCCCCTCTGGACTTCCGCTGGAGTACATAGTGGCCAGCTTCCCATCCAAGATGAACCTGAACCAGCCGTTGGAGCCATTTGAGAGCTCGAGTGCAGCAGCATCCGACCAGATGTAGAGACAGTCCCTCCCTCTGATGATAGACCAGTCCTTCCAGTGATACGGCTTCCCCTGCTGGATCTCCCTTGCATCCTCCTGCACCTCCTCCTCCTGCAGAAGAAACAACATGACACTGCAGTGTTCAAGCTAAATTAAATCTTAAAAAAGAAAAAGGTTTTAAAGGATGATTCTGCTGATGGAACGGTCCCCAGACCGCAGCTGCTTGATCAACTTTGTAAGCTGCAAAAATGGATATATAATAAACCAGAAATATCCTTTAAATCTGAAGCCTCTTGTTCGTCTCTTCATCCGAGATGCTTGTTTGCACTTGCAGACACAGTCGCTCCATTTACCTTCTCAGGTTTGGTTTCGTCCTCGTTCTCGTCATCAGACGCCGGTCCAGCCAGAGTGGACACCTTGTTGATGACTCCCAGTCGAGCCAGCTGATCGAGAAAAACATCTCCACCTTTATCCACCAGATCTCTGATGATCTGCAGAGCCAGGAGGTGACCGTCGTCATCGTCCTGGAACACGGAGAGATGCACACATAGGTTTCACACCTTTTAGGGCCATGAGTACAGAGAGCGAGTGTGTGTGTGTGTGTGTGTGTGAGTGAGTGACGTACCTCCTGGTCAAGGACAGTTGCAGTGATCTCCACCAGCACAGTGGGAAGATTGTGTCCCGTCTCACTATCACACACCTCCTTCAGTAGGACTTCACTGCTGTAGTGAACCATCTTCCTGATCAGAGCCAGACTGGCTTTCCTACACACACACACACACACACCAAAACACACCCAGATGTCTTGTGAACACGTGCATGCAGAAATATTTGTTTTTCCTTTCACTGTGAACAATTTAATTTTGATTACATTCTTAGAAGGAAAAAGGCAGAAGTGGGAAACTTAGTAAGACTGCTGAGACTAAGTCAGCCAATGACAGACAGCTTGGCTTAAAATTGCAGTTCACCTTTTATCTGTTCTAATTAGGCTGTTTTATGGTGTAGTCCACAGTTTTTCTACCTTACATTAACTGTTCTAGGTCAGGTTACCTAATAGAAGGCAGCATGGTTTGCTGAAAGGTTTGTGCAAAAACAGGCAGAAGTCTCCTCAGGTAGATCGGAGCCATTTCTGGGTCTCCTTTGGGCTCGCTGCCCTCCTCCTCCTCCTTGTTCACATCTTTCTTCTTCTTGTCGTCTCCCTTGTTCACCGGACACATCCAGTCTCCTGTGACAAACACACACACGCAGGTTTGTGTTAACTCACTGGTGCTGTGCGAGCAGCCCCACCTACATTCCCTCTCATACAGAAGCCAGTTTGTTTCTGCGTCATGTCAGTGAATATTTTTGGCTGTTTGCTAAGTCTATAAAAACTGCGACAGTCTCTGAAGAACACGCACTGTATCTTTAGCTTTGTTCAAGAAAATGAGCAGGATTTTGCTAATTGAAAAGTTGGAAGTTCAGTTCTCCAAAGCTGGGAGCCCTCATTTAACAACGTTTGAGCCAGGATTGTGAAGAGGAGGGTCCACTGGGCCCATTAGTACCTTTCTAGGAGAGAGGAACATACATAATACTACACACCATTAAAAGCTACACTAGCAGAAGACGACAGAGCGCAGTTTCTCTCTGTATCTCTTTGCCAACTCACGCAATAACGTCAATTGACAACATTTAATAAAAATATTTGAAGCCTGAGCTGATTCTGTTCTTCACATGCTGGGATGTCACAGTGATGGGTAATGTGATGTTTTAAAAATGAGTCACTGCAGCAATGGACTGCATTTTATGTGTTACGAATGCATTCATCTAAGAGGATTTGGGTTATATAAAATACTCATGACTCAGCCGGTGATTAGTTTCCTATATAACTACTGGGGGCTGATCATGTTTTTGGCGACAGCTAAACATTCTCTTGTTGTCATTTGATGTATGTTTTATGTATTTTGTCATGTCTTATGTACTTTAATCTAGGGCTGAAATGACTCATCAAGTACATCGATGTTTCGCACGGACATTTATTACCTTGGCACATCGCGCTTACTTGTGTGAACACGTGATTATGATTGTGCTGTTTGCAAAGTGGAGGAAGAGAGAGAAAATAGCGAGGGATGAAGAAGAAAGTATCCAAAGTATTGGATTATTTCAAGATAAAAGAACAACTCTGTAATGTCATAGTCCGTCCACCGTAAAATAAAACTTATGTCGGCTAACGTTACTGCAACAGCATGACGGCACCTGATCAGAAAGCAGCCGGTGTTCTGCCAGCGGACCACAGACAAGCTAACAGTAACTTTAGCCTTTAACTGAAATCATGATTGATTGTTGAGTTGAAGGCCAAAGCAAGCTGCAGTCCTCAGCTGAAAATGTGCACGTGCGTTTGTTGTTCTCCTGGTGGGGCCGTGAGTTTGGGTTGTAACGTCACAGTCAGGAGTTAACTTGCAGTTGTCTTGTTGGTCTGATGTTCGCTGCATGACACACTATGAATTTCCGAAATGGAATACTAAAAATCTATCATCTATCAACGTACGCAGCTGATCCCATTACCGGGGTAAGAGGGCGACGCCACCGCTGCCAAGCAAAATTATTTCTTAAACGATGCCCACAAAATCAAGAGCAACAGATAAATTCCTTTGGGAACACTGAGTAGCAGTGACAGTAGTAGTAGTATCAGCTGCAGTATTGAATAGTAAACAGTAATATTATGTGTTTACTAACCAGGGGACTGCAATATAGCCACCACCTCACTGTGTCCTCTCTCCCTGGCCTTGTCCAGAGGAGTTTTCCCGTCCTCATCTCTCAGATCAGGGTTGGCTCCATGACGCAGCAGAGTCTACACAAACACACACATTACAAAGCAGAATAAACATCAAACCTTTAGAACAAAACTCAACTCCAGGTTAGAGCTAGTTACCTGAAAGGAAAACTGAATAGACAGACAGACATGTCACAGAATCTGACCTGTGGATGCTGTATTTACAGTGTGTATTCACTCTGTGGATCTGTGTGCGTTACCTTGGCTACTTGTGGACGTCCGAAACAAGCAGCGTAGTGTAGTGAGGATGACCTCTGACCTCTGTTGACGTCCGCGCCCCTCTCACATAGAAACTCCACCTGGAACAACAACAAACATGTGTTTGGTCAAACTAGAATTAAAAACTTGAAATACAAAACTACAAATGAGTGAACACGAGGCGCCAGATAGTTGAAATATTAGACTCCTATGGAATTCATTAAATTACGATAGTACATAAAAATTACAATATTAGCATTGCAATGTGCGCATTAATCTCGTGGCACAGATAAAGGCTGACATTAAAATCAGTCTCAAGATTTTAGAAAGTCAGCTGAAACGTTGGACAGGGGTAAATGTTGCTACAGGACAAGTCAGTCTGATCATTAAATTCAGTAGGATTAATCTTCTGGGAGGTCATGAATGTCTGTACCTAATTTAACAGCAATCCATCTAAAAAACAAAGTGGTGGACCGACAGAGTGCCATTTACCATTTCCTGTGTGCCAAAAGCTGAGGCCCAGTTAAGCAGCGTCTGTCCAACGTCGTCCATGAAGTTCACCTCAAAAGCTGCAATAGAAAGCAGAGGATTATTTAAAAACAAGATGACAGCCGTGATAGCCACATTCAAAAAGATGACACAAAAATGTGGTTTGTCAGGGATGGGTTCAGAGGGAGGTTAAGCTCAGGAATACGGGTACTTCTGCACAATTTCAATACAAGAACCTTACTTTGTACTTACTTTCTTGCAGGTGAAATGCACATAAAAAAACAATACTAGACTAAACATGCACTGTATTCTTTTTATTCGGAGGGAGTCATAGGGAAAGTGTTTTATAACTGTTCAAATTTTACATGAGTCAACTCATTTATTTAATTCAACTAAATTGTTTTTAAATTTCTATTAGAAGGGTTACAGTTACAGTCTGAGAAAAAACACCACATATTTCAATTTCATTGCTCGAGTTAATCCCCATGGAAGGTTTCCACCTTGAATAGTCACTAAATTGTGCAACAGGAAGATAAAACTATCCACAAGACTCCTGTGTTGAGGAGTACAGGAGTCGTCTACTCCTTTGCTGTCGAAAGTCTTATCACAAGTGTCTGTGTTCTTACCGCCGGTGTCGATGGCGTCGATCAGAGCATCCGTGTCCTTGCTGCGGATACAGTCAATAAGCTGTCGGTGTGACCTCTCCCCTGAACTGTCCAGGCGTCGCAGGCCGGGGATTCGACCCGTCGACCCTGCTGTGGATTTGGGCAGCGCCTTTCGTCCCTCAAACAGGAGCACCAGCAGGAGGTCCACCAGCCGCATGGTGTCCAGCACACAGCGCTCGTCTCCTCCCAGAGCGGACTCCATCGAGTCGGGCAGCGCGGAACGCAACAGGTCCTAGAGACGGTAGAAAAGGGGTGGGGACGCATCAGACGATGTTACATTTCTGTAAAATCTAAAGAAAATATGCTTGTTATCTGTTTCTTCTAGTTTGCATTTTAGCGTTTCAGATGTGTTGACCTACATATGTGACGAGTGGCGATCCCCTGCACAGCGTGGACAACAGGCTGACGATGGTCGACACCTGGTTGCTCACTTTAGAGTCTGGGGCCGAGGGGGCGCCGCCCGTTGAGGTCCGGCCAGGCTTACAGGAGGAGGCGGGGCCTGACACTGTGCCGCCGGCAGCCGCCATGCGACACAGCAGCTCCTCCGTCAGGCCGTGTTTGGCTAAAGGGGCGGGGTCCACACCACGGCGAGTGAACCTGTCAGCCAATGAGGCGAAGCATCGCAGAGCACCATCTGACACCTGGGGGACAGTAAGTGGTTAGTTCTACTGAAAAACCAGCTGCTGAAAAGCAAGCTTGACCCCTCTGTAGTTACCTGGTGGTCTTCGTGTTTGAGGAGGCTGGACAGCGACTCCACGCACGTCTCCAGGGACGAGTCCTGGGGTTCCATCTTGCTGCACAGTCGGGACACCACGGCCATGGCTGAGTGCAGAGTGTCTTTATGAACCAGATGGCCGCTGTCTCTGATGAAACTCAGCACACAGTTCAGGCCACCGGCCTCAAACACAGCGCCAGACTCCCTGGTACAGATCAGTTCCAGCACCTGGACAACACACACACACATATAAACAATATCTAGCAGGAGGACTCATCTCCATGTTTAGATACCGCTGAGCCAGAAGTCAAACCTCAACCAGCTGAATTGAAAGTAAAAGTAACTTTGAAAACAAATTCGGTGTCAGAATTTCCTGCGTTAACAGGAAAGTTTCCAAAGGATGTTTACTAAAACGCTTGCAGGTTTAAGGACTACAAAAAAAAAAAGTGTCAATCATTCTATGGCGGCAGATTATCCTAAATCTCATGGATTTTCTCCATTTCCTATAATTGTAAATTTACTATTTTGGGATTTCATTGGATCGGACAAATCAAAAACAATACACCTGAAGACATCACTGAGTTTTAGGGAACTGATGCACATCGTTCACTATGACATTTCATAGAATAAAAGACTAACAGATTAAATAATTAACTGTACAAATCTAATCAAAACCTCTTAAAAAAAAATTAACACGAGATAAAAGCAGCACACAGATCAGCGTTGGGACATGAGACGCTGACAGACTTAGGCCTGAATAAAGAACACAACTGTCCCGTGATGTGTATTAATAAATATTTGGTAGCACATGGTTATGGATCTCCTGCCTGTGGTGTGGCTCCGCTCCAGAAGCCAACAAAAACACAATGAACAGGCTGATCTCTGAGCGGTTGTTACCATGTCTTGCAGTGGTGGAAAGTAATGAAGTACAAGAAAGACCGTGTGGAAATGCATTCATATGCACATGCATGAAATTTTACTCGCGCATTCGAGCAAGACACACCTGTGCAGACCGGTCCAGACAATGATGTGATGTTTAGTTACATCTCTGGACTAATGCAAGATGGGAAGCAGTGGTTTCACATCAACTATGAATACGGTGATCAGAGGGGCAGACTGGACAATATGATGCACATCTCTCAGTAAATAATAAGCATCACATATTCAGCCAAGTCATTTTATAAATAGTATTTTATATGTGTTGAAGGAGAACTGGAGGAGCCAGTTTGAATGGGCCTGATGCAGCTGATAACATTTATATATAGAAAATATCTATAATTTACAGAAGCTGTGCTTAAGCTTAAGCTGCTCCACCAAGTGACCCAGCAGATTAGCCCCCAGTCTTATCAGACTTCATGAGGTCTGAGTTAGTGCGCAGAGGTCTGTTCAAACCAGCATTGGATTTTTCTAAAAAGAGGTTTCTATTCAGGCTTCTTACAGAGGGAGGATTGTAGTGACAACATTGTGGTGTCAGGTGTGACTGTGCAGCAGCTCAGTTTTTGCTCTGTGAACAGCAGCCAGTTTGAGACAGAGTGGTAACGTAGCTGGTAGAGTTTTGCAATATAAACATCTGATAACTGAAGCAAACCTTTCTCTGTGTGGGACTGTGAGCTGCACTTAATGATGGGAACTGAAGTTAACATGTGGGTTTTTGGTGAGATTGTGAATTGAGAAGTATTTTAGTTAGTTTTGGTTTCCGCTTCCTTGTCTCATCTTAACATACCCAAAGTCCCAAACGGGGGTTCTGTGTCTGTCAGACAGCAGAGCAATAACGCAGACTTATCGTCTTCACATAGGGGAAATATCCACAAACCTGCCTTGAGTGAATTTAAAAAGATAGATTGTGTTTTGTAGGATCAATAGATTTTGATGTGTAGTATTTTTAAGTTTGATTACTTAAGTATTTTTAAAACCAGGTACTTTTTACTTTCTCTTGAGTAGGTTTATAATGAATGACTTTTAATTGAGTAACATTTTTCACGTATCTGTACTTTTACTAAATTAAATTGAGTACTTCTTCCACCACTGATGTCTTGGCCTCAGTTAACCTCCTGTTATCTTCCTCCACTGACACACTTTCCCTGTTCAGGATAATCAGACGTCCTGACAAACAGCCACTTTTCTATAATTCTTCTTTATAATTGATAGTAAGTAATCCAGCCTGTACAAGTTCCTTACATATTTAAACCTTAGACTGAAGCTCCCTTCAGTTCTCTGCATATATATTACAATCATTCTAAAACACTCTGGTGTAATCACTAACTATAAGACCTCGTGTCCTCCTACCTTGACACATTGCTCGGCCAGGTCCCTGCTGGTCCTGTTGTTGAGCTCTACCACCACCAGCCGGTTGCAGAGTGCCTTGATGGCGCCGTCCACTCCCACGATCCTCCGGGTGCACTCTGCCGACACATCCAGGTAGTAAGTAATGGCTCTGGCCGTGACCTCCAGTACATTATCCGGAGCGCTCTCATCCAGGAAAATCTTACAGAGCGCCGGGAGGAATGTCCGAGGAGGACAACTGGAAAAAGAGAGGGACGACAGAGGAAGTCAATGCAGGTGGTCGACCCTCTGGCTGAATCTTTTGTGATCACAAACTGAAAACTCACGTCTCGAAGCAACGGTCGACGTTGTCCGACATGAGCAGCAGCATGCAGAGCTGCTCCAGAGCGATGAGCTGCATATCCCGCTCATCGCCCTGCCCCATCTGCAGCCATTCCAGCAGGGTGTCTGGGTCCACGTCCGCCATGATGGCTAGCCTAAAGGGACAAAATACAGAACATACACCAGCTTAACAGCAGTATGTGTGCGTTTCATTTGCTGTATATTTTAATTATTCCTGTGCAATTCATTCTGTATATCCGTTTACGGTTACTGAGGATGGATGCAATCCCAGCATGACAGCAAGATGCAGTGTACACAATACTTTCACTACAACAACATGAACATTTTTAAATACATGCATTAGAAGCTTACTTTTTGTAAAATGTTCCTCTGCCATTTCTTTGGCAAATGCATTTTTAGGCAAGTTACTGTTGATGCATCGATGAGGAAAATCACAAAACACTTTAAAGTGTTTTTTATTTCATGAGAAACAGACTGAATCTGAAATTTAATGAAATTGCCAGATATTTCGCCCAAACAATCAGGTTAATCCTCGACTTTCTCCTTGCTCAGCCTTGGTCTTGACTGAAATATTCGTTCTTCTCTTGATATATATTTAACACTACTAGTCTGTTACTGTGTTATAATTAGGATCTCCCTACCTGATGACCTGACTGGCTGACATGACTAGCATTGTTTAGCTAATAGACAAAGAGCTTCACACTGCCAAAAAGCTTTCACTCTTCAATTTATGCTTTCCACCTGCCAAGATCTAAACTGCAGATATTTGGTTCATAGGGCCAAATAAACCCAAAGTCCTGCAGTGAACAGTGGAGTACAAAGACTGTCAAACAGCTGCAGCTTTAGAGGTCAAGCTTTGATAATGACCTCTATCTGAAATGCTAAATTATTAGATACATCTTATTCTTGCTCTGACAGTCGTTTGCATCACCTGACTTCTCACCTGGCTCCCCGTTGGCTACCCGGTCTGGCTCAGGGCCCAATCACTGCTCAAAGTACTGTTGCTGTTTGGGACTCATCCAACCAACCGGACGGAGGGAGAGAGGAAACACAGACAAGTCACTCGCTCTCACAGGGGTTTCTGGGACATGTAGTCTCTTTACCTGCAAACCAAACAATGGGAGGAATTGAAGGATACATTTAATTAACTGACACCGAGAAAGAGCATGATGTAATTGTATAATTAAAACCTTTATTTAACCAGAAAAAGCCTCATTGAGATATAAAATCTTTTACAAGAGCTTAATGACCTTATTTACATAAGAATTAAAATGAAATTGATCATTATTTAAATGGGACAGAGGTTAATTGAATATGGTACGCTTGTTTATTAAGCTCTGGATAAGTGGACAGTTTATACAGAGCTGTGGCCAGTTACAAGATTACTTTTGATTGTGTATACAGGATAGTGAATAATTCTTAATAATAATTCCAAGTTGGTAAAATAACCAGATTCATTAAGCTATGCGGCCAACAAATCTCTTTAAATCCCCGAATCTTTAATTCAATCTCTCTTAAGATCTCTGTAAACTCTACACACGTCTGCAAAGAAAAATAAACCGGTGACATAAACAAAAACACCAGACTGACTGAACATGGCCAGCCTGCACTTGCCAAGCCTGCCAAATTGTAGAGACATCAAAGTCCACCCAAACTGCTGCTAAATGTAATATTAATGTGAGGGTACTCACTACAGAAGGGGGGTGAGAGACGGCATCCTTGCTTATACATTTATCTAACGTCCGTTTTTGATGACTCGAGAACAGCAAGTGCTCGGCCTCAGCCTAACGTCAGTGTTACACTGTATTCTGTGACCGTGAGATTATGTGAGCTGCAGCAGTGCTACAACCATTTCACCTCCAAGTAACTTTAAGTGCAGACAAATATGTGATGTGGCGCTTCTGCAGCTGTGCTAGTTGGGGAACGTTTTTCCCTGCAGGAAAAAAAAGGTCAGGGCGGGGTTAATGAAAGTGTGAAAATATGTGGTGAAAGCGCCATGCCCTTCAGAGTTAGGTTTGATACTGAAGTAAATGAAGACAGTACTTTTACGTTTAAGATGTCTTCATTATGCACTAAACAAACTAGCTTAAAATATTTAATAAAGGATTCAAAGGGTTTGGATTTGATAAAATCCTATCACATTCCATCCCTATTCCCAAGAGACTAGAGGCTGTTGATAAAGGGCAGAGGACAATTCCTGAACCACAGACCAGCTGTCAAAGCTTTACAGGTGGAATTTAGACAATAGAATTTGTACCACACGTGCTACCGGTAATTAGACTGAATGAGACCTGCTCTAAATGGTGTGCAACAAACAGACGGACAGTGGTAAAGACCATCTAAACCGCAGCATGCGTGTGTTTGAGGAAGTTCAGGATCTGACGAGCTAATTTAACTCCACATTATCGTCACAGACAAACAAGCTTTACAGGGACTAAACTCTGATGTGATTTCCCTTTAAACAGAGCCGCAGCGCTTCCACTGTCGACTGCAACCAGCTGATATGCAAATCTGAAGAACCTCGATATGAAAAGCTGGTGCTCAGCTGCCCGTCAGAGGCAGTAGGATCTCTAAGTAACATCATTCGTGAAATAAATATAAGAGCTTTTAGTGACGGTAATAACAGTTCTCTGTAGAACACAAAAATAAATAAACAGGGAACCAAACCAGCAGCGGAGGCAGAGCTGAAACCCCTGTGCAAAAGCTTTGTCTTTAACTTCCAAATCGAATGCTTTTATTTACTTTGAAACTAGACACTGAAATCATTGCCTGGTACAGTTAATAATGTACCATCAGAGAATAAATAAATCAGCAGAAAAATGAAAAAAAAATTGTTTTGGGTGGGGGAATGGTGTTTGGCAGGTCACCTTAATAGCTGGGAAACATTGCTGAAACCTCACAGTCCTTTATTTCTGTGGTTAACATTACACATCGTGACACAGGGAAAACAAACGTTCCTTCAAGGAAGTTGAAAAAAGTTCTGGCTGCCAGGTGTATTCTGGATAATAACAGGAGCTTATTTATTTGCAATAAGGTTAGATATTGTTGAGATTTTAAAAAACTGATTCTGATTAGAAAAGAAACTTGTCTTAAAAGTTGTATAAACACGTCACATCTGTTACTGCTGGGTCAGGAGGATTTTGGGAGCTAAAAACAAGGTCAGAGTCCAGACGAGGCTGATGATCCTGTGTAGGGTACTGTGTGAACGATTTTGGAAAATAATCTAAATGCGATTTTATTTTATTTTTTTAAAGACAATATTGCGTTTGCGATTCAATATGCGATTAATTTTTAAACTCTTTACCTTCTGTATTATTCAAAACAGACAAGTAGTGAGTCAGTGTACAGTATGACCAACACAATATTAGAAAGATTATTATGAGCAATGGTGGAGAAAATTTTTTAATAATATGAGAAAGATCATGTGAGTCAAGTCATGGCATTAAATAATGATATAATATCAGGTAGGCCTACCTACAGACCACAAGAACAACTAAGTTCACCAGTGTTATACAGTAAGCGCTCAATACAAAACCCACAGTTCAAGCACCAATTAATGAGTCCTTATCTCAGTTCAAATCTCCTAGGAGTCCGTCTTTCTATATCCCAGTAAGCAAACAAAAAATACTTTGAACTTGAGGTTCAATTCAAAAGTTGGCCAACGAAAATAAAACCAAGTGCCATCTCTGGTTTTTTAATAGACAAGATTAGTAATTCTCCAACAAGTTTCCCACCTCCGATGCTGGTAAGCAGATCACTGACGCGAGACAGATTGGGCCTCTTTCGGACTTGTGCGTTTGGTTTGTAATGCAGTTTCACATATATTTCCTGAGCTGATTGGTGGCTGTGTGTGAGACGCAGGCGCCAATTGCCACAATACGCTTACCTTACTACACGCGTCTTTCTGTTGTGCATTTTTCCTGTCAGTCAAACCTGCGGATGGCCCGGCGATTTCACCCACCACCACGTTACCAGCGGGTGCTACTTTCATTCCCTATGTTTCTGTAGTGTCAGCTTCTGTCAAGCTTAAGGCCATTGTACTACAAAAAGTTAATGTAAAGCGTAACATGTGAAGTTGATGCTTTGTCTGCAGACTGCTTTAGTCTTGTGTCATGTGACCACGGTGTAATTGCAGCCTTTGCGATTTGAAAATCTCGTTTTATCGCACTGTGATAATATCGCAAATGCAATTAATCATTCAGCCCTAATCCTGTGTGGATTTTCTAACCTTTAAGGCGCTTAGATCAATAAAATCTGTAATGGTGTATATGTAAGCGAAGAAGCGGCAGATCAACAAAATAGTTTGACCTCCAGGTCAATATACTTGCTTTTTGCACAGCTTTTACCTGCATTATCCACACATCTGCCATACACACAGTCTTCAGTTGCTGTTAAAAGCTCCAGTAAAGGCTAGTGAGGTTGTTCCTTTTGGTGAAACTACTTTTCCCAGGGTCAGGGATTACATTTCACCCTCATGTTTGGAGTAGTTCAGAAGCAATGTGTCACCATTGCATAATTTATTTTTAGACTGTAAAATGTCCCACTCATTTATTTACAATGTTAAAGGGTCCTTGTGAAAAATGTTTATGTTGTCTTCAGGTAAAAAAAAGAAACAAGAAGGGGGAACGTCAATAGCCATGTAATTATAAGATTCTCGAATATCAGCCTCAATCTAATATAGGTCGGGCTGTATTAGCAATGCTACTGAAAATTAGCCTAATCACCTCATCAAGCAGCTGCCCATCCCTCATTTGCCTCATGAGCTGCTATTATCTAGATACAAGTCGCCTGGCTAAGAGCTGCTACTAACAATTATTATAACCAAATTATTTATTTTCTTGATTATGTGTTGAATTACTTATTGACCAATATCTCTTAAATCCCAAGGTGAAACATTTAATGTCTTGTTTTATCTGACCCACAGTCTAGAGCTGCAATGATTAACTGATTATTTGTCAACTATTAAATCACCAACTATCATTCATCTGTTTGAGTCACTTTTTAAGACGCTGACCGACACTTTTCACCATTTTCGGACATTTTATAGACCGAACTATTAATTGGTTAATCTAGTTGCAGCACTACAACAGTCCAAAGACATGACGTTTACTAGATCCCAAGAACAATCTCACATTTCACAACCAGGAATCATGTTTTGCATTTTGGCTTTAGAAAAAAAAGGAAAAAAAAAGACAATTGATTAAATCAATGGATTAACATGATTAGCTCTACACGTTATACCAGGTGGAGATGAGGTCAGAGAGCCTCTGTGCTTAAGTTTTCCTGACTTTCCATAATATCTGGAACACAGCAGCAGGCAGCCGCTCTGTCTGGTAGCATAGCACTGCAGCAAGGCAAGCTGGGAGTCTGATGGGTCCAGGCTAAGTTGATTAGGGTCTAATTTGAAGCCAACCGGCCTGTCTGTCTGTCTGGATAGAAACAGGCTGTGCTGGAGTCTGGACAGATCCTCTTATCAACAGATTAATCATCACAACTTGCCAGAGAGCGTCCTGACCCCCCCCACCCCACCCCCGGGGCAACCACAGCAGGACCGAACAGCCAGTCTGTCACTCAGTCAGTCACATGGCTCGTCTTTCACCAACTAACAGAACAACGGCCATCTCAAACTGACTGATTTAATCACAATCAACCTCGCCTATCAACACCATGATGATGAGACTGAGTATCAACCTCAATAACTTTACATTTGCAACGGTTTGATTATAGGGTGGTGATGGCACAATGGATAAGACTATGCCTTGGTGTGAGAGACTCGGGTTCAATCCCCCACTGTGACCCATCCAATGTGTCCCTGAGCAAGACACTTTACCCCTAGTTGCTCCAGACCTCTGTATAGCGCCAGCTAAATGAATAAATGTAAATGTATAGAAACCCACTACATACAAACATGGACAGAATATTTACTCTAATTTTAACCGTCATTCAGTTTGTTTAGTACTGTATTTTATTAATGCAAAGTTCTTATACAGCCGTTTGTGTTGGATCATGCACTGTAGAAAAAAATGGTTTTACTAACCAAGTTAGGTGTTGTTTTTGTTTAGTATTGTTATTGGTATCGGTACACTTCAAACAGTGAAGTGTCAAATCTAACAGCACCCGAAACCTTCTCTGGCACTGGGGATATGTTAATGCATCCGTTTCTCTTTTGATGTTGATTCAATTACAAAGAACCAATACAAAACCAGGCCCTCTTTTCCCCAAATTTAAAATCTGTTTACCTCGCTGTATTTAACCAAATAGTTGTCATTGGGATCATTTTTAAGTAAAAGGTAATAAATAGTGAGACAGTCACCTGACTAACATAACAGAAACGACACTTTACAAAGAAGCTTTAATGTTGATTGTGACCTTATGGCGATACCAGATAAATAAAGCCAGTATTGACAGCAATACTAGTTCAGATCGATGCATTCTCAAATATTTGCCTTTAAATTTGGTCATACAACATGGCTGTATGACCTTCTTCATATGAAGACTACAAAGACATTTACGCCAGTTAAAAAAGTTTCCAACAATTCTCAACCCTACTGACTTGATAAAGAGACCAAAACCCGAGCTTGAATTCCTAATACCACATACAATGTGACTAACATTTACCTAACAATTACTTTCATTTTCTGTTAATCTGATTATTATATTTTACAAGTCATCACTTGGATTATTAAGTGTAGAAAATAGTGAATATGCTCATCACATATTCTGAAAGTATAAAAAGGTGACATCTTCAAATATCTTCTTGTGTGCAAAAAAGTGCAAAACCCAAATGTATTCAGTTTACTGTGAGCTATTAGAAGCAGGTATTTTTTGGCAAAAATGACTCAATCAGTACAATTGCTGCCAATTTATTTTCTGTCAATCCACTATCGAATTAAATCAACAGAAAACATATTGACTGCTAGGCCAAGGATAAGTATAGTTGTAGTTAGTCAAAAAATAAGGAAGTTTGGTGACAAACTCATGACAAATGTGACAATCATTTACCACTGTTCAAACATTTGTCAGGTAAAACTCCCTAAAATTTTCTGGTTCCAACTGCAAAAATTAGACAATTTAGTCATTTATGGTGTCTTTTCACTGGAAATTAAATCTATGGGTTTCACTTTAAAGCGAAAAAAATTAAAAAAGGTAACAGAAGAATTTTAACACCTACAAATGGGCAACACCACAGGGCAAGGAAGACCATATGGTGAGGCTGTTTTGTAAACTTGATGAAGTTGTACTTTAATCATACTAAGAGAAATTAGTTGCAGCCTTTGTGTGAATGCTGACATTAGGCTTCTGGTACTCGTGATTATCCCCCCCCATGTTCCCCTGCCTTACTTGAACAAACCTCCTTTGTTTCCGACCTCAAACTTGTCCAGCATCAGAAACTCAGCCACCATCAGACTTCTTACGAGTAAACAGGGCAAATTACAGGGTTCAGCCATCTCTGACAAAGCTAGCTGCGTGACCCCAAGTTTCATCATCTGGCCCGGGTATAAGGAGCCTAATTATTTCATCAGACACAAACCGGCATAAGAGGATATAGCAGGGATATGTTACTGGTCACGTTAAGCCTTCTAGCGAGCTCTCCAGTCGTGTACACAGGGGTTTTATGGCCATCTTAGAGAGCTGCTGCCAGTTTCTAAGCTTTATCTAACGTTACCTGTTAGCTTTAACAGACTTGCTAATGTAACGGTGGTTAGCAACTGCGATGTTATCAGGCCGGTAAAACAAACTATAACACACAGAAAACATCCTTAACCTATAACCACGAACCCAACAGTATTAGGAGGAGTTAAATACTGATTTGTCATCCTGTAAGTTAAAAGACATAAATGACAAGCAAGCAACGAAATCCGCTAATGTTAGCCGGTTAGCAACATGCTAGCTAACCTAAACGCTAACGGTAGCTTAAATAACGGCAGCGTCCTCGGGTTTCTGAGGAAAACTCGCATTTATAAACGACAGGAAATCATTGCTAATTAACAGACAAAAGTGACCACGGTTTATTTATTGTAAGAGTAGCGTTAATGTCCATTTGGTGAGCTAACTATACCCGCGGCCTCGGGCTTCTAAGGCGAGCCGCGGGGCTCGAGTTCCGGGAGAGCCGAAAGGCCGCTGCGCATCTGCGGACGCGCGACACGAGCGACCCCGGCCCGGGCTCGCTTCTCCCTGCGATATGAGACACTCACCGTATTTCTTTTTGGCAGAGACAATCCGCGGTATGGATTAAGATTTGCTAGGTCCAACTGAAGGGTGAAGATTTGTATGTATCGCCGATGCCGGTGGTTTAAATCAAGGCGTTCCCATTTCTTCAGAACGGGTCTAAAAAGGTCAGAGTGGACGGCGAGGCGATAAACAGAATAGACCGGATTGAAATGGAGAGCTGAGCCGACTGCTGCTGCCGCGTTCAGGAGCTAATACCGAGCTCGGAAATATAAAATATCACAACATTTATTATTTATCTTTCCTTTCTTTTTCTGTATTTCTCTTCTCATTTTGCACGAGTATGCCGGAAAATTGTGTAAATATCTTTTTGTGCTGTGCTGTGTGAATAATTAATAAAAGGTTGGCCAAATAATAACGTCAAGAAACAAACATTTACTGTTAGCAAATGTAGTTTGACTTGCATTTTAAATGTGACTATGTTATAGGGTTTGGGACATAGGTGTCATTGACACTGGGGACATGTCCCCACCACTTTTTGAAATGACTGATTTTGTCTCCATCGCTTTTTAAAGCATAATTTGTCTAAAAAAACATTCAGAAAACATGCAATGCAATTAAAATATAGAAGAAACAAATGTGCATTTTCCAAAAAAGTAACTGAGTAAAGTAAAAAAGTACTGATTATATATTTTGAAATGTCACGTGCTACCTGAATTTCCTTTTACATAAATAAAAACATTTCCACCATAAATTGGTGCAGAAACGTTCACCAGAATTCAGGAAATTAAGTGTTTAATGATCAAAATGTCCTGGTGGAGGTCCCCCCAGACACCCACTCATATATCTCAGCCTTGAGGATATCTTTGAAACACTGTTTAGGGATCTTTTCGTCTCGTTCTCATAACCTTAATATCGTGTATCATGATGTCTCGCGAGCTAAGTGTCTCTTCACACCCCTAATCTGAGCCCCTATGTCCCCACCACTTTTCAACACAAAGTGACGCCCTTGGTTTGGGGTTAGTATAACTCAGGGTACATTTGACCTTGTATTGTTAAACAAGAATGGAGAAATACACAAATAACTAAATATTTCCCTGGTAGTAATGAATAACAACATGTAAGCATCAGGATCAGTGTTTGTTGTATGATGAATCACACACCGGGATTTTTACTCATCTTTACTGAAGCTGGAAGACTGAAGCACACCTGGTTCATATACTTATTCATTGGTGTCATTTACAATGGTGACTGTATATACCACCACTTTTTGAAATGGCGGATTTTGACCCCATCACTTTATTTAGAATTTGTTAAAAAGCTTCTGAAAAATAGCTTGCAACAAGAAATGTTAAATAACAAATGAAAATGCTTTGAGAAAGATTTATTTGCACAATACATGCAATGTAATGTTAATATAGAAGAAACAAATTGCCCCAAAAAGTAACTTAAGATGAAAAAAATCAAGCAACTCATTACAGCATTATGTTCCATTATATTCTGAATTGTCACCTGAATTTTATGTTTCCCTTTATATAAATAAAGACATTTCCAACATAAGTTGGTGCAAAAATTTCAAGTGTTTCATGCTCAAAATATTCAGGTAGAGGACTCCTAGACTGCAATTGTTTCAGCATTTAATATTTCTTCAAAATAGTGTTTAAATATCTTCTCATCTCGTTCTCGTGGTTTACGAGTGGGTTCCACTGTCGTGCATCGTCACATCTTGTGAGCTTAGTGGAACTTCACCCAACCCCACCACTTTTCAACATAAAGTGACGCCCTTTTACTTATTGCAGGTAAATCTTTAGTGTTTTGGTTTTATTAAGACAGAGATTTTAGAGGAAATCATGTTTTTAATTTCTTTTGACTCTTTTCACTGATATAAACATTCTCATTTAGACAATAAAAATCCTTTAAAACTAACCAGATTTACTTTCTTTCTTTCGATTCTACAGTCTTCACTGCTGATGACTCAAACTGATAAAACATGACGTGGTTGATATAATGACGTTGTAATGTTGTCAAACTAAAGCGCTGATGACTAAAATTGGCCCTTATGACTAATACCAATCAGAGAGTCTTCGGAAAGCGTAAGCATCTTGATCAATGTTTGTTACTGTGTGATGAATTACACAATGGGATTTTTGATCATCAATCGTGATCTTTACTGAATGTACAGTGAACATTTATGATCATCATTTATCACTGATGCTACATGATAAACGACGTTATGTCATATTGTTATATGAAACACATTTGGGGCCAATTTTTAGCCATTTTTAGCCACCGGAACAGCTTCCTTTTTATTGGGGATACAAAAAAAAGTACTTAATCACGCTTCATCTTTGTAATTTTCACATTTACGAGAGATCTTGAAGGCATCATCTGGAGGTGACGCAGCTGACGTCAGGGGGCGCTGCAACATGTTTGCTTCTGCTCAGAGATAAAGTTTCCAAAGTGTTTCACAACTGATAACAAACCACATGGAGAAAGGCAGCATGATTTAAAGTGTGCTTCTCGTGTTAGATATGTATTTTCATATCATATAGATTCTAAATGCTATATTTCTAATCAAGAGCAAAATTGGTTTTACTTTAACACAACTTAACTTTTACTTTATCCCAAAGTTTCAACTGAGTATTTCTATTTAGTATTTCTATTAAGGGATAGCTTCTGTTTATTTTTTTTCTCAACTGCATTCAGTGGTGGATGAAGTACACAAATCCTGTACCTGTACTTTTATTCAGGTACAGGATTTGTACTTAAAGGTCCAGTGTGTATTATTTAGAAGGATCTATGTAATGTAATATAATAGAGATAACTGTTTTTTCATTGGTGTAAAAAGACCTTACATAATGAACCGTTATGTTTTTTTATTACCTTAGAATGAGCCGTTTCTATCTACATACACCCAAGGTCCTCTTACATGGACGCTGTCATGTTGCGCCGCCATGTTTCTACAGTAGCCCAAAACAGAAAAAAAGTGTCTCCACAGAGCACGTTTCGTCACTACGTTGAATAGGTATGAAGAAGTAGTAGTAGTAAGTAGTCTGGTTTATTAGAAGTTAAAAAGAGAGGAGAAATTTGGACAAGTGGAGGAGCGAAAGTATTATTTAGCACAAGAGTCGACAGAGCGTGCCGGCCACCTTAGTTTCTCCTGCGCTCTTGGAAAGGGAGGTGCGAGCGGTGACTGAGCTGTTGGTTGCAGTTCGCAACCCTTACCACTAGATGCCGCTAAAACTTATACACTGAACCTTTAAGTATCAAAAGAAAAAAAAAGTACTATTAATATGGTTATGTTTATCTGGGGTTGCTGACATGACCATAATTTATGAATAACTATAATCAAAATAGCTGCCAATTAAATTTATCTCAATAAACTAATAGGTTTCAGTTGTTTAAACTGGATAGTTTAATTTATAAGAAAAAATATTTTTAAACTCTATATGTTTTGTTTGTAAAAATCTTAATTTGTAAAATAGTAACCAAAGCTGTCAGATAAATGTGGTGAAGTAAAAAGTACAGTATTTCCCTCCGAGATGTCGTGGAGTAGAAGCAGAAAATGGCATGAAAAGAAAAAACTCTTCTCTGATTTGTACTTAAGTACGGTACTTGTGTAAATGTACTTAGTTACTGTCCACCACTGACTATTTTAAAAGGGAAAATACTGGATTTTGTTAGTCCACTACTTTTATTTTAAGGCTAGTGACTTGGTACTGTGCAGATTCACATTTCTACATGAATAAGCTCATAAAAGATGACGCATTGGTTCATTTTAGCTCCTTGTATAACAAATACTTTTTTCCTTAATGTAATAAAACTTGTGTGCATATAATAAAATCCAGTTGTTGAAAGTCATAAAATGTTTTTGTTCTACAGAAACATTTTATGACCTTTAACAATGTTTATTGCTAATTGGCAAAACTCATTACTCTAACATGCTAAATTAAGATGGTGAAAATGGTGAATGTTATTCCTCAGCTTGTTAGCATTGTTATTGTGCGCATGTTGATGTAGCATTTAGCTCAAAGCACTGCTCACAGAGCTGCAAACATGGCTGCAGAGTGACTGTTCAAACAATCAAAGCGTCAACAATAAGAAAGTGAATTATTTTTTCTTTTTATCTCCTGGAAATTACAAATACATATAAACCTTATCCAAGGAAGGTTAAAATCTGGACTTGGTTGAAGATACTCATCAGTGTTTGCTCACACGCCTGAAGACAAAAAGAAAACTGGAAACTGAATTAGAAGAAAAACACGTTTTATTTACTCACTGCCGTTAGAAAACAACATGTTCAGCAACTCATTCATACAGTTCAAACCTGTACACAGAGCCAGGTGAGCTCACAAACACACACTCATGCAGCTGGTGTGTGTGTGTGTAGCTGCTGAAACTGGAAGACTGAAGCACACAGCTCACCTGGTTCGTATACTTATTGCAGGTAAATCTTTAGTGTTTTTGTTTGATTATGACAGAGATTTTAAAAGGAAATTATGTTAGAATTGTTTCGACTCTTTTCACTGATATGAACATTCACATTTAAACAATAAAACTTAAAACCAGCCAGATTTACATTCTTTCAACTGCCAGTCTTCACTGCAGATGACTCAAACTGATAAAACATGATGTGGTTGATATTATGACGTCGTAGTGTTGTTAAACTAAAGTGCTGATTACTAAAATTGTCCCTTACAGGTCACCATATGACTAATATCAATCAAAGAGTCTTCGGGTTGTGTTTTTATGTGATTTGTCAGACAAAATTAAAACCAAAATCAATATTTTACTAAAAAAAAAAATAAAATCCTCTTCATCTTTTGTTCATTCTTCAAGGGTCAAATGAAGACGTGTTAATATGACCTTTGACCTCCATTCATTGTTAGTGATGCAGGTAAAGAAGCTTATTCTACTGCAAACTTCAGATTGTTTTACTATTACTTAAACCATCAAGTACATAGAGATGACATATTTTTCAAAATAAAAGTCTATAGTGACAGACAAAGCGGATCATACAGCACGGACACTTAAACTGCTGCCATTTGTTTAATTGTACTTGTAGTGCCAGGTGGGTGGAGTCTATGCATCAGTGACAGCCTGTATGACATTAAGATGCTCTCCTGTGATTGGTCACACACCGCATGTACGGTACATGTATCCTTTATGCTACCTCCATTTTTTGGAGAAAAGTCAAAATGAGATTAGATTTGTCAGATTTTGCCTGACAAGCCG